TAGATTAACTTCTAAATATTTTTTTATACATGTAAAATTTTCATAAAAAATTATAATAAAAATATAAAACTTGGATTAAATCAAATTTTCTTCTCTCAATTTTGGCTAAAAGTATTAAATTAAGCTTTTACAAACTCTAAGAGTATATTTGTTTTGTAAAATTTAATAATTCAATTTTAATTTTAACATTCAGGGTCAATATATATAATAGATAAAACTATGAGGGCTTGATTGAAATAAAATAAACTGTAAAGATCTAATTCAAAATTGAGTGAAATTGTAAAGACTTACAAGTATATTTTCTCTTTTTTTTTTTTTGCAACATTACATTTTTGGCCATAACTAAAATAATAAAAAACATACTTGTTAATATCAAAACTAAAGTTTTAAATTAATAACAAAGGTAAAATTGTTAATATAAAAAATATAGTTGTTAATTTAATTATACAATAACAAGTGTGTTTCTTATATTAACAACTTCAATTTAGTGATTAACAATTTCAGTTGAAGTATCAACAATGGTCATAATAATTTCAATTAATTAATCATGCAATAACAACTACACTTCATGTATTAATAATTTTACCTTTATTGTTAACATAATTTTAGTTTAAATTTTAATAACTAAGCTTTCTATTATTTTGTAGAGGGTCATAAACATAAAATTTATTAAAAAAATTATGAATGTTAAGACCCTAGAGATTTTAGGTTAATTAATTATCTCATTTCATGGTACTATTTTGTCATCTACCTATTTTGATAAGATTTATTTATCATTTTCTCAAAAATGAAGGTGCACTCCATAATTGTCAATTGTTCATACTAATGAAAATAAAATCTGTGGAGTTATAATTATAAAAACCTAAACGGTTGAACCTTATTAAGCAACAGAAAAACAACGTCAGCCTCTTTAATTTCTATTTTTGAAGTTGACCTGTATTATCGGTTTGAATGGAAAGAAAGGAAATAAAATGGAAGAAGAGAAAAATGGAATGAAAATAAAACTAAAAAGAATAAAATATTATTATCTTTGTGTACTTTAAGTGAGTGAGAAAATAAAATAAAGAGGAAAGAAAATGAATAAATGTTATAATGACAATAATATTTTTATGTCAAAATATATCATGCATATTCCATATGATTATCTTTGAAAAAATAAGTTGAAATCAAAATTATATAAAAATTAGCATCATCAAAACAATTTAAAATTCAAATTATTTGGCATGAGATATATTTTCATTTTATTATATTTTGAAATCAAATAATTTAGTAACAAATATTTGTATTTAGAACATCAACCACCATATTTTCTTCCTTCGTTCCTTCCTTCAGTTGCCATTGATGAAAACCCATTTACCCAATATTCATTTATTCATTTAGGTTTCACAAATGTGGTCTTTTAAGGGGAAGACACAAAGATGATAAACAAATTAAGGGGAAGGGTAGTTTTTGAAACAAAGTTTTCTTCTCAAATTTCTCCTTTGTTAAAGCAGGTCTTTCTCTAAAAATCTTTTTACATCTAGTTGTCTAAAAAATCCAACAAATTATACTTACATTTTTAACCCACGGCCATTAATGCCAGAAATGCCTTCCAAGGTTATATGTTGAATTCCACCTAAGCCAAACTTACAAATTACCAAAAAAGAAATGGTGAAGTGAATGAGGACATAACAGATATGACCACATAGCCTTTGCTCTCTCACAATCTCGAAGTATGTGTATAACATCTTCATTCCCACACTTAAAAGGACAAAGATTGTTTGTCATGAGCCTCTCTTGGCTCTAAGAGAATTTGAGGGGAGCCTCTCATGGGACACTTGCCAAAAGAAAGTTTTGATTTTCTCAAGAATGGGCCATCTCCAGAAGTTTTAGCATGGTTAGTTTCTAATCTTTATAGGAACGCATAAGCCAAACTAATAGAGAAATTACCATTCGAAGAACCTATCCAGCTATCTATATCAACACCTACAATTCTTGGAATACTGATTTTGCTAATTTGATTAATGACATTCAAAGGTAGACAATTTACCCATTTAGATATGTCCTAGTCACCATTCTCAACAGCAAAATCCTTCACTAAAGCTTGAGGGTTTCCTATGTTGCTCTTAGTGATAGCATAATTAATGAGAGGTTGTTCTAAATTTGCTCATAAATCCCACCAAAATCTTGTTTCACATCTACTCACAATTTCCTCTTAATGCCCTTGTAAAAATCATCCTACACTTCAACAATTCCTTTCTTAATAGAAGAGGAGCAATGCTTTTTTGAAATAGTCAACTGGCCCCCCTTGTTACACTTATACCTAGCTTTTAGACATTTTATCTACAGCCGATTAAGGTAACAGAGGAGTCCCTAAAAAAGTTTAAACATAAGAGCTCTGTTTTGTCTATAGAGATCCTTGAAACCTAATCCTCCTTCTGTTTTCTCTCTTTTAATACTACTCCAAGCAATAGGTGAAGTCTTTTCCTCTCATCAAATTGATTTCACAAAAAATTTCTACTAATCTTCTCAATCTCATTGATGATCCCTTTAGGTAAAAGCATGGATTGCATGTAGTAGGTAAGGATGGCAGATATAATAGCCTCAATGAGAACATTTCGACCTACCATACTTAAGAAATTTCCTTTCCACGTGGATAATTTCTTCCTAACCTTGTTAACAAGAGGTTAAAAAGTAGCTTTTGTTGATCTAGTGTGAAGCAATAGGATACCAAGATATCTTTCAAGATTGCCAGTGAGTCCTATCCCTACCTCCTGGCATAGATCCATGGCCTTGTTAAAATTCACATTTGTAGAATAAAAGAGTTTTGACTTATTTAAATTTACTCTATGTCCAGAAACACTACAAAAATTAGACATAACTTCTTTAATCACATTCATTTGTTCAACGAAGCTTTAGACAAAAGAAGGAGGTCATTAACAAAAAATAGGTGAGAAATAGAAAAGCCTTTACCCGAGAAAGTGTAAGGTTTCCATGTTTTCTTTTGACATTCCTTTTCAATTGGATGGCCAAGTCTCTCCATACATAAAACAAATAGGTAAGGACTCAAAGGATCTCCCTGCCTAAGACTTCTAGTAGGAGAAAATTGGGGGGGTTTCCTCACCATTCTATAAGATTTTCATGGTATTTGTAGACACACAGGCCATGATAAGATTGATAATTTTAGCATCTAAACCAATTTTGGAGAGTGTATCCGTAAGAAAGTCCCAGTCCAAACGATCATATGCCTTTTCCATGTCAATTTTCAACACAACAAATCCTTTTCTTCTTTTCTTATTTCTCATAGATTGGATAATTTTCTGAGCTATAATGATATTGTCGTTACTTTGTCTTGCTTCAATGAAGCTGCATTGTTGTTGTTTTATCAAGTAGCTCATGCACCTCTTCAATCTCATAGCAAGGATTTTAGTCACAATTTTGAAGTTCACATTATAAAGAGAGATTGGTCGAAGATCCTTAAGAGCTATTGGATTCTCAGTCTTAGGGATAAGTACCACATTAGCTTTAATATCTTATTAACTTTGGATTGGTGCAATTTTTCCCCCTATAAGTTTTAAAAATAGTGTAATATCATTACATTTGACTAACGTTTTACCATTAGTTGAATAATTTTGAGGATTAAGGGAAATTTTGTCCAAGAAATTTAGAGTAATTAATATCATAAACTTTCAATTGCCATTGTATTTTAGGATTATTAATATTAATATTCTTGGCAAAAAAAATAGATTATCAATATTCAATTTAAAAGAATGATTTGACAACCGATAATAGCCCTATTCGATTATAATTAAGCATCACTAAGTCAAATTTCGGAATAAAAGCAAAGTGTGCCTTCTATTTTCTATTCAATAATTTAATTTTACAAATTTGACCCCTTTTATAGTAGGAGACAATGTTTTGAAACTCTGACCAAACATCAAACCTGAAAGAGTAACAGGTCGCAATCCTTATGGTTGAACACTTGAGTCGGTTAGTCGATGGTTGAATCGGTGATATAAAAATTAAATAAAAAATAATATTTATACACACAAATATATAAATAAAATATTAAATTGTCGATGGTGCTTGAAATCTTGATGCCAAAGGCTAGACTCCTTGACTGTTGGAGTTGGAGGCAGAGGTATGTTGACACAAGCTTGCGATCTCAAAGCAAGACACTAGAGCTGGAGGCATGTCGTCATGTCAGACTCACGAGCTTTCGATCTCGATGCCAAAGGCTAGATCACTAAAGCTGGAGAAAAGATTAAAGATTGAGTCTTATCTGTGGATGAGAGATCAGAGATTAGAAAAGAGAAGATAAAACAGGATTAAAGATTAGAGAAGAGAAATTGTGAATTTGAACAATTGAGCTTAAGTTTCCTTTTTTTTCCCCTTTTGAGGCTTTGGATCAAGTTGATCCGCTCTAGTTTCCAGGTGAAAACTGATTCTCTTAAACCCACCAAGGTACACCTAGTCCAAATGCTCAAGTGATCCAAATGGTTAAACCAAGCTGTTTTGTTAAGCGATCGATGGTTGGACAATCTAATTTGATCCAGGTTTCAAAATACTAGGAGTGGTTGTACTGCAAATTGGTTAGACCGAGAGGCAGTGGGGATTGGCGGGAAATTACCAAAACCAAATTAGTTCAGCAATTTAAATTGTTTTTAATTATTTATCTTCGGTACAATTAATGGAATTAACTTGTTGGATAATTGTTTACTTCTAATTTTAAATATCTTACAAGTGTTATTACACATGATTACCAATAATTATAGATTTACTTGATAATTACTATGATGAAAAATTTTTAATTAACTGTTGAATTCAATATGTAATTATAAATAAGACTCAATTTAATTTATTTAATTTTAAATATTAATTATGAAATTTAACAGTGATATAAATATATATATGTATATATATATTTACAAAAACGTGTATTTGGTTCCACTGAATGAACCTTGAATCAGTTCTTTACCAATTCATTTTTAAAAACAGTCATCACACTTTGACCCAAAAAAGAAAAAAAAAACATCACCACCCAAATATATGCCCATATAAACGGGGGGAAAGGGCAACCTATGCCACAGTATCTAGCTAGCAAACTTGCATTCCGATATTAACATTAATTCTTATAACAATATAAAGCCTCCTGCATGGTTCTTTACGGTTCATTAGCAAAATAAATAATCACAAGGCTACACTATCTGCAATTTGAAACTCAACCTATCTCTAAAACTGCCAAGTGATCAATTTTTTCAACAGCATTCGGAGGTTCAGACTCATACATCATGACTCTCATATAATCTTGGCATAGATTGTGGAGGAACAATATGCAGAACGGAGCTAACTCATGAATCCCCCTCCACCCATGTTGGGTGCACCTTGCGATGATACCTGTCCCTGAGATACCAGTTGTGACCGTCCCGGACCTTGAACATACGCTCCTTGACTCATCCCTGCACCAACCATTTGCTGTTGCTGAGGAATCTGCTGCTGATGTTGCAGTTGCTGAAGTTGAGGAAGCTGCTGCTGCGGCTGCAGTTGTGAAAGCGGCTGTTGTTGCTGTTGCAGTTGCGGGAGCTGCTGCTGTTGCAGCTGGGAGAGTTGTTGCGGCTGCACCGGGGGAAGTTGTTGCTGTTGTGGTTGTTGTAGCTGACGGAGTTGCTGTTGCTGCATGTGAGCAACCTGCTGCGGCTGCTGCTGAAGATGCTGCTGCGATTGCATCTGCTGATGCTGCTGCTGTTGCTGCATTTGTTGCTGCTGCTGGCTGGACAATTGTGGCTTAAATACCACCGTGTCCTGTTGCATAGCAATTTTCAGAGAAATAGTGGAAGTATAAACAAGAAGATACCATTATTGTTTGGATTTTGTCATAAGAATTGGGTTTGTCAAGGCGATTTAGGCCTTGTTTGGTATGAAGTATTGAATTTTAGAAGACTAGGAATGAGATTAGGAATGAGAGTGAGAATAATTTTAAAATGCAGTTTGGTATGCCATAAGATTAAAATAATAATAATAATAATAAGACTCAAATTTAACCAAAAAAAAAAGTAGCTAAAAGACAACATTTCCCTCATCTTCATCATCATCATCATCGTCATCATCCTTCTCTTTCCTGCCGCTATCTCCACTCTACTGTTAAAACCATTCAATCCAACTAAAACAACAATATCTATATTCAATTACTATTGAACTTGCATAACCAAATCTAGCTTCCAAATTTGAACCACATTCGTCCTCCTTAGCCACTACCTCCACTGACGTCAAGCTCACCAGATCCGGGCTAAGGAGGGAGAGGGGTTGCTGTCTAGCTCACCAAATCTGAAGTTCTAGGGATGCCGATGATGAGGAGCTCGCCAAATCTGATCTTCCAAGGACGCCAACGATGAGCAAGGAAATGGAAGGGAGAGCAGATGTTAGGGAGCAAGGGGTGCTGATCCTTCAGCGAGCAATGGCAACACAAGGAAAAACAGATGGGGTAGAGGGCTTTGGTCTGAAAATATTCAATCTCAGGACTAATTTTCCAATACTGGTGGGATGGTAGCATTGGGTAATCCTACATAAATGGGATTAGGATTCAATTTCTCATTACCTTGTACCAGACATAAAAAGCTGGTGCTAGCCAATCTCAGTCTTAGTCCCACCTCACCAGTCCTCATATGAAACAGGGCCTTAGTGCAGAGTTCTAGGTTGGTTTCCGACTATAGAGGAAGGTAGAAGTTTAGGCTGCACAACCACGCATGCCAAGTATCCCACCCTTCGTGAATGGGGATTCAACAATGTTCTTTCAAAATATAAGGTGCAAGTATAGTAATTTACTGCATAAATAAAGAATATTTTACATGATACAACATTTTTACAACAATAAAAAATAGATAATGACCGTTCTGTATAAGTAATCAAACCAAAGGTCAGTTGCCTGTTGATAGTGTCATGATTGTGCTTTCATCAGAACCACGTTGGTCACACATAACATGTTTGAAAATAGGTGCCTAAGCTTTATAGTTAACTCATCTCCAGGGCAAGAGAAGAGTAGCTCAACTTCCATCCTTACTACAGTGTAAATAGCGTTAAATGGAGGTATCAACAACTAATTGAGAAGTACTCACTCTCACGACAGTATAATAATAAACACAATGTTGCGTGTACCTTAAAATCAGCATACTTCAAAGAAACTCAGAAATTCTTTTGATGTGTGAGCTAATTGATTACGGAAAGAAGTGTGGATTCCATTCATCCCTATTCCCACGAAAGAGAAGAAAATTTAATGCTCAAGAAGCTTGAGTTAAGAATTTCTCACCCCAGGAAAAAGCATCCCAATCAAGCGGCAGGGTTTGTCAGAGACAGATAGTAGCAACGTCTGTGAGGGTAATTGGATAACGGCACACTGAAATGAAAGAAAAAAAAAAAACAAAAGAAATTCAGCACCAGAATAAGCGTACCAAAACCAAGAAATATAAACGGTCCATCCAGACAGATCATATTAAGTAGATGATTATATAGCCACCTCTTATTTTGTGGTGTTGAGTTGTAGCAGAGAATTTAAATTATTGAAGATTGGAAAGCCCCGTAAAGCCCTCTCTCTTTTCCTTTCCTTTCTTTTGCTCAGTTTTTTATTTGTTAATTGATCTAGGAGGGAGATTTTATTTTAGGGTTAACAAGCAATTTTGCTTCTCACTATTCACTCAGAAACATTTGGTATTCTAAACTTTCAAGTGGTGCAATTTCCCTCTTCCACTTTTGAAAATTGTGCATATATAAAAAGGGACCTCAAAGAGGATTTAATCGATATCAATTTTCTTATAGAATACTTATTTGTAATTTTATGGGTCCTTTTTTGTAAGTTTTGAGATCCTTTTCTTGAATATTTTGGGTCAACTAATAGTCAAAGTTAATTTTTTTAATAGCAAAGTACCCAATGCACCATTTTCAAAAGTTGAACAAGAAAACTGCACCGCACGAAAATTTAGGATACTAAATGCCTAAGAGAATAGTTGAAGGAAAAAAATGCCCTTTAACCCTTTATTTTATGCCCCCTCCAGCACTTCTTCTTTTTCTAGTCAATTTTCTTCTACTTACTCTAAAAAGAAAAACACAGGAAATGCTGCCCGTTTGTTTTGTATGAGTCTCATAAGTATGCCCTGCCCGTTGATGTAACACACACACAGATCTGAATAGAGGGAGAGAATAGAGAGAAACCAGAAATGGGGAGGGAGAAATGAAGAACAGAACAATGGGGGAGCAAGGGAGAGAGAGACAGAACGCAGAGAGAGGGAGAACTTTTGAATATGCAATCACAATATTTCATTCATCAAGTGTGTTCATTACAAGTGCAATCAAGTCTATTTAACAAAACTCTAATGCCTAAATAAGGAAGACTTAATCACATTTACATCTAAAGCTAACTTTCAGATTTTCTCTTACAAAAGAACACAAAAGGAAACCTTAACACCTTGTCCATATAAAGTTAGGCTTTATATTTTCCTTCTTACAAAATATTAAAATAACATAAAGAGAATTTATTTTTTCCTAGAATAATGTCTCCCATATTTTCTATCATTCTCCTAATTCAAGTTTACAATAACTATCCCTTTACATGCAAACAAACAAAGAATACCCACAAAACAAGCTCGTAGCATATGCAGGCAGCAGGCACAAAAATTACAACAGTTACAATCCTTCAATGAAACAAGTAAATTATCCATCCTCATTCAGCATCTCAAAAATGGAGTTTGAAATAACACAGATAATTATACAAAGTGTGATTTACAAATTTTGAGCGACTGGTTATACACTTGTGATCCCAACTTATATTGCCTAGACAAATTTGAAACCATTGTACTCAAGACATTGATAAACTGCAACTTTTAAACACAGATAGTGAACCATACAATTTCAGTGCATATCATAAACTCACATATAAGGTTCATTTTACCAATTGGTTATTTTTCCCCACTAATAATTAATATATGGCATGCAATTATTATGCTTACAGGGCAATATGGGACATGCCATTCTTTTTAGGGGAGGAATGCAGAACAAAGTTGAGATTAATATAAATAATTACTTTCAAAGATAACATCATGCAGACAGAGTCATAATTCCATGTAATCTAAGATATTATATTTTTAGTGAAGTGATTTCTTTTTTTAATCTTCAAATTTAATTGATTGGAGATCCTCCGATTATAACAGCTACATTTTATCTTCTTTCTAGAGCGAGGCTTATCAATTAATGATATTGTTGCAGATTAGAAGAAGAAATTAAAGAAAAGGGAAACAAAAACTAAGATGCACTGATAAATTACCAGCTTCTTTTCCTGAAGCTGAGCAAGAAACCCATGCGGGTTCAAAGCCCGAAAAACTAGGAAATCCACCTTCCCAACGTATTGCCTTTTGTCAAAACATTGTCATGTCAGAATATCTACAGAATAACGTCTGAACACATACAGCCACACACTCTTAACATCAATGAGCAAGACCCAAGCTGAGCACAAAAAAGAAATTACTTGTTATTCATGTGGTCTTGAGATATAAGACGATCTATTCGCATTGTTTGTTGCCAGTCTGACGCAAGCCTGGGACCCATAAAAAGCAGTCATTAACTTTTTATAATTAATGCCAAGTTAGGCCAATATAGGTGACAATTTAAAGCAACTGCTGATGATTTAGGCCAGGAAGACATTTAGGAAAATCCCATACTGCTTCAGCCATATTGATATAAATTTGGAGCAAATGATGTGTCATGAAAAAGTTAAATATTTCGTATGTCTTAAGGTAATTTACTATGAAGAAATGGGAGACATGTCGACCCAAATAGTTACAATCACTTCCATTTGCACATAATACAGAATACTCATGCACACTTTGCTGTGTTAAAAAAACATGTTCTTTAGATCAAGATTATATAACTAGTAAAGGCAACCCTGAAATGGATTTCATAAATCACTAGAATTATAACTAAAGTGGGATACCAACTAAAATTAGTGTGTGTGTGTGGGAATTTTGAGTAATTATTGTACATTATTAGTCTTTACTCTATTGTCCTCTCTCCACTTGTATATACACACACTAAGGTATCTCACATGAATGATAAGAGAAAATATTTTCTTTTCTAAAATCTACATGGTATCGGAGCCTGGTTTCGCTCAAGACTTGTAAGCCTGTTATTTCACACACATTTGAAGTCTAAAATGGGACTGACTAGCTATAATAGGGACTTGTATGCACCACACCGTCTGAAACTCGAAAACTGGACTGGCCCTAATTGGAAGCACAAGAACTTGGTGTTTCGGGCATATTTGATATGAGCAGCTTGTGGACTCACATTTGAAGAGGAGGTTGTTAGGTTATCCAAGTATGAGTGAACTTAAGAGGATATGGTAAATCCCACATTAAATAAAGTTGGACCCAATAACTAATATAAAATAAAAAGAAAGGACACATAAACTTGAGCCTATTAAGATGTGGTGTCCTTTCATTACTCTTACTCATTTCTCCTCTCCCCCCGTTTTCGAGCTCTATTGTCTTATCTCCAGTTGTATATAATTATATATGTATGTATGTCTGTATATGCTATCACATCCCACATGAATGATAAGTGAAAATATTTTCTTCTCTAAAATCCACATTGAGTAATAGGGGCTCTAGTCACTTGAGCAAGCAGTTAGGAGTTCAAATCTCATTCCTTGTATATGTTACAATTTAATTAGAAGAGATCTTCCATTTTCCCTCAACACTTCAGAAGAGATAATCTCTATTGTTGATAGAGTCTAGTCCTTATACTTGTTAAGGAAAAAAAAACCCAAGTGAGGAGGTTAGAAGTTTGACCTTTTCTGTTCCAACTCTCAAAATCAAAAACTCTAGGAATTTATTGATTTCGTTGATCAGTAGAATAAAAACTCAAAAGTTAGCTTCTCAAGATGCTTATTAATAATGGTTACCCTGTTTTTGGCCTCAAAAAAAAAAAAATAACGGTTACTCACTACCAAAAGTATGGTTCTAGGGAAATCATCATCTAGTAACTCAAAGTAAGCCATCAAGGCGGCAGGAGTCAGTAATTTCTTTAATGCAGAATCAGCTTAACGACCCATAAAGAAAATAACATTAGATTGACAGTTTTAGAAAGTCTAACCACTGAAAATGATCCCTAGACTTCATGAAGAAAGAATAAATAAAGGGAAAATAGTGATGAAGGACCATAGGAGAAATTTTATATTAATTAATGACTAGTTGTCAAAATCTGAATGGAAAAAAGTGCTAATGGATTGTTATTAATTTAAAATAAGTTGTAAAAATATGAATGGATAATTATTGATAGAAGACTAACTTGAATTGACAAGTATCCATTCAATTTTTGACAACAAGTAATCCTTCATTCATATAAATTTCTTTCAGCGGTCCTTAATTGATATTTTTTCAAGAATAGAACTTCCTGAACTTACGATTCTGAAGCTGAAAAACTCCGATAACCCTGCCATGAAGAAAGTATTCATAAAATTAATTCATGCCACAGAATTACAGGAATTACCGAGGAATGAAACTCAAAATGAATAAGATTATTTCAATGGTCAAATAAGGAGATCTAAGATAAAATGAATAGAGAAGTAAGCCAGATAATTATCAAGTTTTGGGATCATACCTCTAGTCTGGTGATACATAGGGGCTGTCCTTGTCTTTGCCCAAATAAAATCCCCTGAATGAATTGCAACAATTAAGAATATAAAACTTATGCAAAAGCATGCAAGAATAACAATAAGAAATTTTCATGACTTATGCTTTGGGGCAATTCCTACTTATCATTTGATGATTTACTATTGTTTATGGTTACAGCCACTGGACATCATGGAATTGATTTATAGAATTTTAGAAAACAGAGAGATAATTTCAATGAGATTAAAGCAGAATTGTAAGGGTATATTAGATTTAATGAACCACAATAGAATAAACCAAGGTTTCAAAAACCGAACCAAACTAACCAATTCAACTAATTGGATCGAGAACCAGCTCTGAGTCTAGTTCAGTGTAACCTCAAACAAGCAAGTCAAAGACCACATAACCCGATCAAAACCCAGCATGACCAGTTAGAACTGAGCCAAATTTTATTTTTTTAAAAAGAACGCTTACATTAAAAGACAAAAAGACTAAGTTGGGTCTCAGGCAAAAACGTTTAGCCTATTGAAGCTCACAAGAGCTTTTGTTACACACTACTCCTTGCCTGATTGCCTCCCATCGCTCCCTTCCATCATTCATCCCTACAAGATGTGCGATTCACTTCTTACCATAGCACGCTCCTTCAGTCCTTGTTTGGCCACAACTTTTTTCTCTATTTTTATCTCGTCTTTGGTGATTTTTTTGTGAATCTTCATGACTTTTTTATTGATAATGGAAACATATATTTCATATTTGTACTTCATAGTATTTATCTATATTTTTTTCTTGATCAAAATATTTTAAATTTCAGTTTAAATTGGCCTACCAAAAAAGCCTGATGATCACAGCTTGAAAGAACACAAAGTTTTAGTTTTTCTCTCCAATAGAAATTTCTTTTTTAATTGATCTTCGATTAGTTTTTCATTGTTCATAAAAACTTTTCTCAATATGTAGACAAAAACTTCATATTTGAATTTTAAATTAGTTTCTATTTGCCTTTAAAATGTTTGTAAATGATCATCCCATGTATATATTTATACTTATAATCATATTTCAATATAAAAGTAAAAATATGCTAATTTATGATCAATTGGTTTGACTAGTGAACCCATGAACCATTCTCTCGACCGATTCAATGACTGGTCCAATTTTTAAATCCTTGGTATAAACACAAGGTAATAAGAATTTTCAGAAATATTTTTCCTCACCTCTTAGCAATGATATTGTCCATTCCATAATGTCAACCATCCATAATTTACCAGAGAATAAGGTAGTACAAGTTATGACCATTGCATTACATGGGGTAAATAAAAATTGAACACGGTGGCAAAGCAAAAAAGATATAATGCAACCTACAATACAGACATTTATGATAGGTAATTACCAAATAGTGATAATGATAATCTAACACAATGTAGGCAAGAAGTGAAGACACACCAGAGGATTTAGAAAGGCCATCCATCTAAGATATATAAACTGAATTTCTCAACATCCAATATTCTCTTCAAGTTAAAGATACTAACGGAAAAACAAAGACATGATCCAGTAAAATCGGGAATTGACAAAACGATGGTCTACCTTAGTGAACCATAACAGAAAAGGCAACCATTGCAACAAAAATGAAAATTGAAATTTGCAATAACAGCCTTGATTTTTCTAAAATGAACACTTAATTTCATATCAAATAACTGTTTCGAATTAGATGGCAAAAATTGATCAGCAGTAATACTTGAAAAACATACTCTAATCATGCCATAACTCAAGTCCAAGCCTTACAAGGGAAAAGTGACAAATTATTCTTATAAAATATAAAGACACTGATGAAAAATGCATGATGCTCAACTGATGCGGGACAAATTCATTATAGAGAAAACGGTAGGATTTCATATTCCATGCCAATTAGTCTAAAATATTCTCAAGTAAGGAAAAAGGAAAATGCATGAAAGTAAAAGCTTAAGAGGCAGAATTACAAGGAGTAAAAAGGGATCAAGACAAACCTCCCAAACCTTCACATATTTTAATTGTGTAAGTTGCACAGCACGTGAGGTCTGTTGCTGTGAAGGCATATTAACTGCTGCATTATTCACAACAAGTGGTTGCATCCCCGGTTGTACTTGCTGAGACATTCCAGGAGTAGGAATCGTTGTACCAGTGCCAGAAGAGACAACTGATGGACCAAGGCCACTCATCACATTTTGGTTCGTGTTAACTCCCATCTGTGCTCCTGCAATGTTTCCTTGGCTCATGGCTAACCCTGGCTGACCCATACTAACAGTACCTTGCAGATTTCCCAATGGTTGTGAACTCCCAATATTTGAATTTCCAGACATATTTGATATGGCTGAAGTTAATGAACCAAGACCTGAGTTTGCTCCAACCTGCACAGGACCAGTAAGAGATCCAGAACTAGTTATTGAATTTATGCCTGACTGTCCAGATGAAAATACATTTTGAGCTGCTGGTACAGAAGACGCCATTCCACTGGATATCATGTTTGACATGGGCATAGCCACGGGAGTTGGACCCATTGACTGAAGTCCCATTGAGGTTCCTCCACTTAGGACCTGTCGTGCTTGAGAAAGATTGTTAAGAATGTTGACATTTGCTTGAGCAGGACCCACTGGACGCAGGGCCTGTGACACTGGCATCACGGGCTTTACATCCTGTGTATTTTCATTACTTGGCATAATATCTTGAGAAGCAGAAGATGGAGATGAAGTCTGCAAGCTTGGGACAGCTTGATTAGGAGCACGTGGAACTGATGACATATGAGGAAAAGTAGGTCCTGATACCATGGAAGTAACAGGAACGGGCTCCTGAAGAGATGTGATAAATTCAGGATCATTTTAAGATTTAAATTAAAAAAAAAAATCGGTGCTAAATTTTAATAATGATTTGATACAGGGAAATTGAGGATCTTACCACTTTTATAGTAGCAGGGGCCATATTCCCAGCGGGAATTGGTTGCTGGTTTGTGATAGATCCATTAACTAAAAAAATTCATAGAAAAAACAGAAATATTAATAGATCTTGCAACAAATATTTAAACAACATGTAAAAGATGAAATATGGTAAAATCAGAATTATCAGAATTTAAGTGAATTAATTGCATACATATCTGGCTCTATATATTTTTTTATTTTCCTTCACTCTATATATCCTCTGTTTCATGCTTTCCCCCTTTTATATCATAGGGGATGCTCTGTATGTATTGTAATATTGTGCCAACAACAACAACAAAGCCTTATCCCACTAGGAAGAGTTAGCTACAATGATCGCATGATGTAATTGAGCTTTGTCTGAAATCAATTCTTCTCATAAGCCATTAATAGAGAGATTTTGATTAATGACTTCTTAAAGTGTCCTTTTTGATCTCCCTCTATCTCTCTTCTTAGGGCTAGAGCTTATTTGCTTGCACCTCCTTACTAATGCCTCTACTAATTCTTTTCACATGACCAAACCATCTTAAATAATTTTCTACTATTCTCCTCCATTGTAATGTTGTGAAATCAATAAAAATCATCTTGATGGAGACTTGGTAGTATGGGATACTGAATCTCACGTTGAGTAGTATTGGATGCTTAATGGGATACCTAAATGGCTTAGTTCTCAAACCTCAATAGCTAGCTTTTAGGATAAGATTCCCCATCCCACTTAGATACCCATCACATCTTCAACGCAATGATTCACATGGGATTATAGCATGAGTTAGAAATCAAAGACAATGAGCCTCAAAATAGTATGGAGTTGAACTTAGGTGAGGAAGTTGCACACTTTGAAATGATTTCTAGCCTCGATGGCTCCTCCATGTCCAACTTGTGCCAAGTTAAAGCTCAAAGGTCCCATGTCGATGACTTCTAGCCTCAAAGGCCAACAATTATGATAAATCCAGAGAAGCTGAACGGAAAAAGTTACTGTGAGTTGGCCCAGGCAATAAAACTTGTTAAAGGTTGTTGAAAGGTCAAATATCTCGTTAGTGAAACACCCTTGTCAGACGCATTGAATACTCAAGCCTTGTGACAGTAGAAGACTGAAAACTCAATGGGGTTTGTCTTGGCTGATAAATGATGTGATCCTAACAATAAAGGGTATCCTGTTTCTCCCAAGTAGATGTGAAATATAGGACATTGTTCACAACTCCTGTTTTCAAGTCCTTCATATAGATAATGGAATAAAATACTTGAACGACACCCTAATAGAGTCTATGAATTCTACCCAAAAGTCCTTGAGAGAACGAATAGACATATTCGGGAGATTTTCCAGGCACTAGCAATGTTCTTCAACTTTAAGGGGGCAATGCTATCCTAAATGCTACCAATCTTAGCCATTGAATGCCTAGCAGAACCTCATCCTTCAAGACGCTCTCTAAGTTCTCCATACCAATTATCCCACATTTTAACTTGAGAATAAACTTCCTTTGAAAGTTTTCAAGTGCGCTGTATATGTTCACATTCATCACAATGGAAAACTTAATCCTAAAGCTGTCAAATGTGTGTTCCTTGGTTATTCTACATCTCAAAAGGGTACAAGTGTTATATGGCCCTATTAAAAAGAGCGTGTTAGTTGTGATGTCACATTTAATGATGAAACCCATTTTACCCTAGTCTTCAATTTGAGGGAGAGTTGGAGTGAATTTCAACCCATAGAAGAAAGACCTTTACCTAATTCCTCACTACCCTTGGGTGCCAAGTCTAAGAGTAGTATCAACCCTAAGAGTAGCACCATGGTAGAAAATATTCCCATCCCAGAAACTAAAGTGAATCCTAACACAAGAGGAGACACCAATGCAAATAACACTAATGGGAAGGACTTGACTATTTAAGTACAGATGAAGAAACCAAGTAGTAAACCAATGCTAGATCTTGACCTGCAAAGTGAAGATAATTCAAAAAAAGAAGAGCAAGGTAATCCCGATGATCCCAAACCAATAACTGAAGTCGATAATTTTGATCTTCCCATTGCTCTTTATATCCTATAGATAAATTTGCATCTTACAAAACCCTTTCACCTCAATATTATGCTTTCACCATTGATCTTGATAGAATAAAGATGCTGTATGATATTGAGGCTCTTACAATTCCTAAGTTGAGAAAAGCCATTTGAAAAAGATGAAAGACCTAAAAAAGAATGGCATATGGGAAGAAATAGATCTTCCTCAAGGAAAGAAACTCATGGTAAAATATAACTTGGATAGTACCAATACAAGGCAAGACTTGTACCATGCAACAAGCTCCCCCATACTAGAGATGCCACAAATACCAAGTCCTTGCTGAAACTAAAGCTTCCAACATCACCTTCACAAAATTCCCTGCCATATCCTATGCTCTGATAACAATAAGAAGAGGAAGTATATAAGTAGGCTCAACAACACATCTTAACCCAAAACCTTAATGCTCAATGTTATGAGTCCTTTCACTATATATATATATATATATAACTCAATTCTGTTTGATGTGGAACTTTCCACATCAAGTCAAGTCTACTTACACTTGACATATCCTAACAAATCTTGTTGTCCTTAGCAGCCAATCTAGATTGGCCTCTTCATTAGGTTGATGTTAAGATTGTCTTCCGAAATGATAATTAAAAGGAAGAAGTATAAATGACATTCCCTCCTAGTTTTAACAACGGAAGGAGAACCTAAGTCTATAGGATGAAAAATCATCTTCTTTGATGCAAAGACACATAGGAAATAAGCCACTTAATTAGTGACCTTCCAATCTCTATTTATATAAATTAAGGAAATGATCTTGGAAACATGAAAGAAGACCTCCAACGAAAAATAAAGACAATATATTATCGTAGTATATGCTATGGCATTAAACCTTCCTAAAAAACCTAGGCACTGCAGATCAATGATGCTACCATAGGGGCACTGCAGTCAATTCATGTCTTTGTAAACTGTCCATTCGCCCCCAAAACAAAGAGGCTGAATATAGTGCAAAATCATATATATGAGATCTAAGATTGTATGATGTGTTCAATCAATGCCAAAGGATTATACAAGTGTCAAGCAAGCAAGTCTATTGATTTATACATAACTAGCATTTACAACTATCTTTGATAAGCGATGCATCTGCGAAGCTTATAATCAACCTTGTGGCATAGAAGTAGGTACTGTCCCGGTAACTGGTGCAACAGGGCCTGCATCCACCTTCACAGGACTTTGATTTGAAGGTGAGGTTGTGATTCCAGAACGACTCAAAGCAGAACAGGCTTCCCTGAAACTTTCAGATATTAAAACAAGAAAATGGGTGTTTTTTGTATCAACAGGTGGACCTGCTGCACAGCTGTTTCGCTTCCCCTACATTGCCAAAGGGATGTAGTCAACACCTTGAAGAGCTCAAAAGCTAATTTCACTTGCATGCTAAATTTAAAAATAAATATTAAAAGGAGGGAAAATAGCAAATAGTTCACTAAATATGCTCTACTTTTGCTTTACAAATCTGAACATCAACTTTGCTAAGTTATCAGATCATGCTTGTGGTATGAGTGGTTCATATTAGACAAAGTATCTGATATCTCGTCCTTTGAAAATAAAATACATAAGTCTTTTGTGAAGAGAGTCATAACCCATCCTTACCGCATTGTAAATGACTTTAACTTTGGGAAGCTGCTTTGGACAGATAACAGATAGAGAAACAGAACACTGCATGCAAAAGATTACATTCCAGAGATAAGGGAACAATGAAAGAGACAGACAACCAAATTTTTTTTTTAAAAAAAAATGGGAATACCTGAGGAAATGCTTTAGCAACAGCTTCAGCATCATGTAGAAGATTCCCTGTGTCTGATTCTACGGTTTCACCTTGATCTAAATTCTGCAGTCGCGGTACATAAACTGGTGTCGGCAAAGGGTAGGGATTACTTGCTGCAACAAGAATGCAGTGCTTTTGCAAGTCCACGTTCTGTTGACTTTGCCTTCCATTTTGAGAAGTGGGGAACATCTGAGAATTTGAACATTTTGTCATGGATAATATTCCAAGTTTTCAAAAAGAAACCCTTGACAATTTTAAATAACGCATTTCAATGTATTAATTATTATAGAAGACTTGTGTGCAAGGCTACAAAGTGAAAAGCAACCCTAACAATTAAATTTAGGCACTCTTTACATGCAGTAAAGGTCATTCAAAACAGGTGTACGTTGTTGGTTAAATGAATAGCAACACACAAAGCTGCATCAACCAAATACATAATAGGACTAGTTTTAGCACAAATTCCAATATGAAGTAGTTTCAAGACATTATTGAATATCTAATATTTAGGTTACTAAATAATTAATTCACATGTGATTTGAGATTTGACAGATGATGAGGAATGAGATATTTCCTAGTGTTTTGCTTTACCAATAAGAAGATAGGTCCTAACTAATCACTAAGGAAGCTGAAGCACCAAAGTAGAGTTCAAACTCTAATCTTCTGTTCTCTCTTGTCTTTGTTTTGGTGGGTCTGTGATTGGAGCAGATGAAAAAATGCTAAGACACAACCACTATAGAGCAGCTCTTCAACTTCGTCAAAGGAGGACTTGATAATTTGAGAACAAAGTTTCCCCAGCCCAACTGAATCCAATCCATTTTATTTTCATGGATGTGCAAGCATACATGAAAAAATAAAATCCAAAATGAGTATATATGAGAAAAAGTGAATGTGGCATCTATTAAGGGGAAAATGGTAGAAAATCATTTGAGCATGGAAGGCAACAATAAAGGGAATGGAACGGATAATCTTGAATGTTATAAAGAGAAGAAAAGGAAAATCAAAAGGAACACTTATGGAAGTTATGGAATAAAACCTCTTAGTTAACATTATTCCCAAAAGCTTGGTTGATGATAGAGCACAATGACATCATACAATCCATCTAACCGACCCTACTTAGTGGGACAAGGCTTGTTGTTGTTGTTGTTCAATGAATCCAGGTTGACCACGAATTTTGGCCATGGAAAAGGAGCCCAAGAAGGAAATTGGACTTGTTTCCAAGGCCTATCTAGCCCATACACACCCTATATTCAACAATACATTTGCTCAATCCCTATCTTTTCTCCTGAACTTTTGCTCTCCCTATAGTTCTCATCACCATAAAATTTGCTGCCAATCAGCAAGCCTTTTTGAAGGATTCAAAAAGTCAATTTTATTACTTTCAAGTTTTACAGGTTTCCAACATTCCATGCTTTATAATTCTCATCTTATCTGTCAAACATGCTTCTCCATTTTCTCCAAAAATCTAAAGTCTTTTAGTTGTCTCACAGATTCAAGGTTTTGATGTCAAATTAAGCAGTTGAATCCACCTCAATCAGAATTAGAAACGATAATTTAGTTTTCAAATGTAGTGCAAGTTTTATAGAGCCAAACTCCTAAGAAAAATTTGCTACAGAACTATTGAAGCAATAAAACATTTCAAGAATTGTGCCAGAAACAAATGTAACATTTAAAGCACTAAACTCAAGGACTGCAGCCACTAGTAATTAAGTGTTTTGAATGAGAAATTGAGAGCCTATAGCTTAAATAACAAGTTCAGCTAGCATGCATGCATGATACATGAGATTTAGGAATATTAAGGGAATTAGAGATATAAGGGTAGTTTGGGTATTTAGTATATTCTCTATAAATAGGTCTCTAGATTGTAATGGATGGGTATGAATGAAATTAATCTCTCTTTCTCTCTATTCTTCTTTTGCCTCTCCTCTTTCTCCCTCTTTCTCTTCTACCACTATCAAAGATATCAGAGCCATCTCTTTGGCCATAGCTCTACCGGAGAACCGATCCAATGAACGCATTAGTGCCCTTGAACACTGTTTGGAGATACATACATCTTTGCTTCAACATAACCAGCAAACATTAGCACAGCATACTCACGATATCACTAAGATAAAGCAAGCCATGTCTCAGCTTATGCAAGAAATCTTGGCTAAGTTCTTTGTGCTTATCAACCAGCACTTGCACCCATCAATGATTACCTCTGTGTCTACAATAACCGTGAACGAGTACTCACAGCAACAAGCATTCGACATGAAGGAGAAAGACACGGACGAGCCTGTTATCAACAAGGCTAGTACAGATTCAACACTCACCCTTATTGACGAGGAGATGGTGGATGAAGTGACTGAGACAGGAATATCAATGCCATGAAATTGGACAATGTCATTGCACGCATTACAGAAGACCAAAAGAAGCAAGATAGCGAAGAGATGGAGACACATAAAGCTGTGAAAACGTTAAATGCTTCTCCAACTTCAACTTTTGACTCTCTTTTTTCCGTGTGTCTTCTTGGCCATTCACCGTCGACGCATCCACCATCAACTTGAGCACCAACACTCCAGTCGCCATCATCACCTATGACTCTACATTTTTCACAAGTCTCTGTTCCACATCAAAAACTTGACACCTACTGCCGTGGCCTCAGACAAATCAGCATTGGAGGCGAGATACTTCAGGTTTCGAAACTGTCCAGATCATTGGCTACAACCACGACATGGGAGGAGGAATATTGATCGGCAGCTGAGGACAACCTAGAGTAGAATCAAACAGAAACATTATTTGCAAGGCAGGTAGGGCTGTTGAAGACATTGGGTCAAGTGGTGTTCGCAAGGAGATTACGGAACTTGGGTTTTTCAAATTTTCTCCCGAGTCCAAGATCTCTCTGTAGAGTGAAATGAACAGGACGAATGTAAAGGGTCATCAAAGCGGTGTGGATGTTTGGGGAAATGGGTTTTAGATCTCTAATTCAGATACGCATACAAGTTTTGCGAGTTTGGACGTTGTGGGTTGCGGATTTTCTTTCAAGTTTCTGAAATCTTCTTTAGTAGGGAGGATGTGCATCTATTATGCATTTCCACGATAAGGTTGCTCAATGCTGCTACGGCCAGGTGTATTCCAAAATTCCTCCAATTGCTTCCCACATGGCAGCAAGGGCAATGAAAACACACCTAATTTACTTTGGGTGACTAAAGGCAACGAAATTGGGCCTTCCCAAAATGATCCAATAGTGCAAATATCCTTGAGTAGTAATTGGAAGCTTGACATGGGCCTTTAGCCAAGCATGCTTCGATGCCAATATATGGGACCCGTTGTTTCAAGTATGATTCAAATGCAATTATAGGCATTTTTACAACAGTTTAGTTGCTCGAATGCCTTCCATGAGTTATTTCCCAACAATTCTAAAGTTGGGTTAACCTATAATCAAGAGGAGCTTTGTGAAGTTGGGCTGAAAATGGGCTTATGGTGGGCGAAGCATGAACCTGTTAAACAATTATGGATCCTCTACTCATTGGTTTTTAGCATCAACAACTTTATATGGAGGGTGACAATGGGCTTCTATATTGAAGGAAAACTGTAGAAAATCTGGGCTTTTGATGTCCATTAATTTTGTTCTTAAATTATTTTATTTTACAAGTTTTAGCAACTTGAGGTAATAAAAAAAAACAAAGAAGTCTTATTTTAGAGAGATATATATATATATATATTACTTTCTGCTTTTGTACCGATCCTTGAGGACAAGGATCTCTTGTTGGGGGGAGTATTGATACATGGGATTTAAGAATATTATGGGAATTAGGGATATAAGGATAGTTTGGGTATTTAGTATATTGTCTATAAATAGGTCTTTAGGTTGTAATGGATGGGTATGTGATGGAACCCTCTATGCTAATAAACTTAAAACAAGCAAAAATACAGAAAAATACCCAAAAAATGGGACTAAACAAAAGAATGGAGTTGTATCACCAGCAAAATAAGGAACTAAAAGTACAAAGTACATGAAACAACACAAAAAACAGCCCAGTACAGCAACAAAAACATAAGTTACACATGAACAAATGATGAAGAAAGATATCTTCCTCCACCCCAATCTAGCATTCAAGAGGCCAGAGCTCTCTCACCACTCACAATTTTCAAAATGCTCCACCCCCTCCCTCTAGACGAAAGGAAAGATTTAAAGACCCAAAAAGTTACAAGGTTGAACATAATCCTAGCTGAACCTAATCCCTATTCATACATCACTATGTCCCCCTATGGCCAGGAACCTTTGGGTAATTCTCTTATCCAATGGAAGATAATTCTTTAGCCTCTTTCCTACACCAAGTCCCTTCATATAGACTATGTTACAGGCCCTAGGAAATGATATATAAATCTGTTCTAATTCTTCAACTCTATCAGTATGAATGGAATTATTCTCTCTCTTTCTCTCTATTCTTCTTTTGCCTCTCCTCTTTCTCCCTCTTTCTCTTCTACCACCATCAATGCATCAACCTTATCAAGCATAAATGTTAGTTTTATCAAGAGACTAGAAAGCTTGCTTGTCAGGATTTCTCTTAATTTGGTATGCTTTTAAGACTCTTCTAGCATTTGCTGGTTTAAGGATGCCAGGTCATCCAACATGTTATACCTTCTCTTCCTACAATACCTTCTTATTTCATCAACAATAAATAAATTATCCTATCTCTTTCCTCCTAACACCAACACCAAGTCCTAGCAGCCTTAAGCTCTGCAACCTCAAGAAGTTCTTAACTTTATTCAAACCCAGGAAACCAGAAGAATGACTGGAAAGTGGTAAGACATGCAAAAGCCCAATCCCCTTCAAAATATCTTTCAAAAAGAAAACACACACACACACGCATGCATGTAAGCGTGTATGCACAAGCTGAAGTTCTACATAGTGTCCCTATATCAATCCCCACATTGAATCTGGCCTTGTCCAAGATCCTCTAAATGTCAATACACGTTTCTCCCTTACATTAGAATATTCCATTCAAAGTAAGAAAATTCAGGATGCTGGCATTAAGAAATGGGAGAGCCTTATTGAGATGGAAATACTCTTAAAGTCAACTGAAACTTGAAAGGAGAACAGGACTCGGAAAAAAGAAAGAGGAAACTAACATATTATACCATGATAGCTTCAGAGAGCCCTTCTGCAATTGCAGCATCATCAAAACCACCACCACCAAAGGACAGAGATGAAAGCCATTTCCAGAATGTATCAAGGTCACTTGTCCAGCCAGTCCGTTGCGCAACAATACCTGCATTCAACGATGCCCAATCAAGTAAATATACTCCATATATTAGTCAATTGCATACAGATTTTCTGGCGGAAGAGAGCAGAATTCAGACTTCACAATATTCAAGAGATTATAATCTTGTAAATTAGTAAGTAGTGAAATTTTGTCCAATTCCTTGCTCTACTTCAAAACTAACAAACAATTGTTAATATATTCTATATTTAAATTTATCCTCAAACTCATCTCCTAATTCCCTTGTCAAAGAAATCATTTTAAAGTGCAAGGGATGGGTAACAAAGGAATAGTTGAAGAGAAATAGTAAGTGGTACAATCATACAACAATATGTTTACACAAGCACTTAAAAGAATAGACTCACAATCATGCATCAACATCTGAAGTCCTAATAATTCAACAGTAATGCAGTCTAACAAGAGAAGATTTTAATAACACCATTAAAAGATTATGCAAGACTGTACCAGAATAACATCCACGAGTACTAAAGGTAACTAATGCAAACTCAACATTGGAAGTTGAAGGCTTCTGCATAAAAAAGGGAAAGGAGAAGTTAATAGACAAGCAAACCAAAACACATCTATTATCAAGCTTGAAAAAATATCACATCTACTAAGATAGCAAAAGCTAGAAACTGATGTACTCTACTTCACACATTATTGAGGGCTTAGACTTTTTCCACACTTCTCATGCTAATAGCATTTATGGGACTTCACCTAAAGCTTAAACCTTCAGGATGGATAAGTCTTCCTATACAGCAACCAGAGCAAATTTCCTTAATACTTCTTTCTTTTTTTTCTTGTAGCTACTTTCTTTCTTTTTCAAGAAAAGGAAAATCAGCATCAAAGGTACAAGAGAAGATATGGCATTAGCGGCCAGAAGATAGCAAGAAAAAAATTAGAGAGAGAAGGCCAGGGGTGGGGGTGGGTGTGGGGGAGGAGACTCCACTACATAGAAAAGCTGTCTCAGTCTTTGTGCAAATCAAAAATTATAATTCATTTGAAACACAAACACTCATTCATAGAGCACTAAAACAAGGCTGTAAACAAAACTCTATCCCACAATAGTAGTAAGGGCAAGGAGATATCCTTGAAGATATGAGCAGCAAGCTTCCAACACCTAATAAATCCTTTAGATCGGTTACACAACTTTCCTCTACCCAAGTAATTGAATCAAAGTAAGCCAACAATGGCTTCAGGCTAGAGTTTAGGACTTACAAACAGCATAAAACAAGATCACATAAAAAATATTTAAGCAGGTGATTAGTTGAAACTTATATTATTTCACTGTGCAGATATATATACACAATTACAAAGTTGACTGTATAAGGAAATAATCAGAAAAAATCAAATCACTTATTTACCCTCACAATCTTGTCTAATCATATCCCCATAAATCAGAATCATATCCCTATTAATTAGAAAAGAATATTTCCTAATTAATTACGTTTCACACTCCGCCTCAAGTTGGATCATAGATGTTAATCATATCCAACTTGCTTATACAATTCTCAAATGCGAGCTTATGTAATCCCTTGGTTAACATATCAACTGCTTGGGGACTTGTTGGTAAGAAGGTCAACAAATGATCCCATCTTCCACTTTTTCTCTAATAAAATGCCTGTCGATTTATACATGTTTCGACCTTTCATGCTGTACTGGATTTAAGGCCATGCTTATAGCTGCCTTGTTATCACATTAGAATTTCAATGGTAGATCTAGTCTGACATGTATTTTCTCAAGGATTCTTTTCAACCATATTTCCTCCATTATGCCTTGAGCTAAGGCCCTTAACTGGATTCAGCACTACTCTAAGATACAACTCTTTGCTTCTAACTTTTCCATGTAACCAGGTTTCCCCACACGAATGAACAATAACCAGAAATAGATCTCCTATCTGGGTGATGTCTACCCCAATTTGCATTGGTATATACTTCTATGGTTCTCCGCTCATGTTTCTGAAACAACAAACCCTTTCCAGGGGTGCCCTTCAGGTACCTCAGAATCCTTTATACTGCTTCCATGTGTTTTACTTTGGCTCACACATATACTGACTAGCTACACTTACTGTAAAGGTTATGTCAAGTCATGTATGAGAGAGGTAGATAAGTTTCCCTACGAGTCTTTGATATCTTTCTTTATCAACTAGTTTGTCTTTTTCGTTATCTTCTTTTTCTTCAATTTTCTTAGTCTCTTCATTAGAGTTTTCTTCCTTTTTATGAACTTTGGCCTCTTCTTTGGAACAACAATGGGTGTTTCAACAAGTTTACACCCTAACATGCCTGTCTCTTTTAAGAGATCAAGTATGTATTTTCACTGAGATACATGAATTCCCTTCTTTGATCTTGCAACTTCCATTCCCAAGAAGTATCTTAACTTTCCTAGGTCCTTGACCTTAAACTCTTAACTCAATGCATTCTTAATTTTTATGATTTCCTCACTGTGATCACCAGTAATAACTATATCATCAACATACACAATTAGAATACACCTCTTACCTCCTTCTAGTTTAACACACATGTGTGATCTGATAGTCCTTGTTTGTAGCCTTGAGACTTCAAGACTTGTGAGAATCTATCAAACCATGCTCTTGGTGACTGCTTTAATTCATACAGGGATTTCTTCAACTTGCACACTTGATCACCTTTGCCTTGATTAAAACCAGAGGTAGAGTCATATACACTTCCTCTTTCAAGCCTCCATTTAAGAAGGCATTCTTAATGTCTAATTGATGCAAAGGTCATTCGAGGTTTACCGCTATAGATAGTAACACTCTGATAGTGTTTAGCTTGGCCATTGGTGCAACGGTTTCTTGATAGTCTATGCCATATGTCTGTGTAAACCCTCTAGCTACTAATCGGGCCTTCAATTTTTCAAGATTCCCATCGGCTTTGAATTTTGGGGTGAACACCCACTTGCAGCTTACAAGTTTCTTGTTCCTTGGTTTATCCACAATTTCCCAAGTCCTATTTTCCTCTAATGCTTTCATTTCTTCCAAGACAGCTTCTCTCCATCTTGGTGATTCCAGAGCCTCATGAATATTATTTGGAATACTAACATCATCTAGGTTTGCAATGAAAACTTGATACCCAGGAGATATAACTTTATAGGACAGATATTTTTGAATTGGATGCTGTGTACAAGATCGAGGTTTCTTCCTGGGGGCAATTGGCAAGTTCAGATCACTATCCAATTCTTTCCTGGCTTCATCATTGACATTCACAACCTCTATGATGTTCTCATTTGCTTCTACAAGATCTCTTATCGGTTCTGAATCAAGGATTGCCTCGGGTGTGGGAGGTTTAGTACCTTGCTTCTTCTTCCGTTTATAGGTTATGATCTCTTTTTATGTGATACTTGTGTCCTTGTTGTCCTCTGTACCTACATTTTCTTTTGCTTTTGGAATAAAAGAGACAGACATTGGCTCAAGAGAGTTGAGATCAACAAATGGAATAGGGGAATACTTAAAGAATGATCCAAATTCATGCCAAGTCCCCCTTGAATTGAGGGAGGAGGATAAAAGGAGTCATGTTCAAAAAAAGTGATATCATGACTAACGAATAGACGCCGAGAAGAGGGGTCAAAACATTTGTAGCCTTTTTGAGAAGAAGAATAACCGATGAACGCACACTTGATGGCCCTAGGTTCAAGCTTGGAAGTAGGGTTAAGATGTACAAAAGCTGAGCACCCAAATATTTTCAAAGGGAGATTAGTTTCAAGATAGTGGAGAGAATGTATTTCACGTGAGCGATCAAGAGGCATGATATAGGATAAAACTTTACTTGGCATTCAATTGATGAGGTAAGCAGCAATAAGAATGGCATCGCCCCAAAAGAATTTTGGCGTATAAGTGGTAAACATAAGCACGGGCAACCTCCAATAGGTGTTTATTTTTGCGTTCGGCAATACCATTTTGTTGGGGGGTATTTGTACAGGAAGTTTTATGGACGATGCCCTTTGTTCTCAAAAAATCACTCATAGTTTTATTCAAGTATTCAGTACCATTAGCAGTTTGGAGGATTTGAATAGAGGTGTGAAATTGGTTAAGAATCATGGTGTAAAACTCCAAAAATATGGATGTGACATCAGATTTCTCTTTTATTAAGTAGACTCAGCACACAAGAGTATGGTCATCTATGAATGTAACAAATCATTTAGCTTGAGTTCGGTTTGGAACATGGGAAGGACCCCACACATCACTATGAATGATAGAAAAAGGTTTAGATGGTTTGTATTTAGAGCGTGGAAGTGAAGAACGATGGTGTTTAGCCAATTCACAAGTACCACAATGAAAAGTAAAAATTTTATTGAATGAAAAATGAGGAAACAAACAACTTAAGTACGGGACATTGGGATGACCCATTCTTTTATGCCATAACAAAAGATCATTATTCTCAAAAGTGGACACAAGATTATACCGAATGCGAGACTAAGACCACTCACGGTTGATTCATTACGGTAGTATAGCCCATCACACTCCTCAACACTGCCAATCATCCCCCGATGTGAGATCCTAAAAGATATAACGAGTAGAGAAAAAATGAGCACTACAATGAGCTTGTTTAGTCAACTTGCTTATGGATAACAAATTATAAGATAAGTATGGAACATGAAGAATTGAATCCAGTTGTAAAAATTTAGAAATAGTAAAGCTTCCCTTTCCAGCAATAGAGGAAGATGTTCCATTAGCAATATCCATTTTCTCACATCCACTACATGGAAAATATGATGTGAATAATGTGGAGTCTGCTGTCATGTGATCTGAGGCCCCAGAGTCAAGTCATTAAGATGGTTTATGGAAGGAGGAATTTAATGCCTAATGATTATTACCTTGCTTAGCCACAAAACAGTGTGTAGGTTTTAAGATGGTTGCTCAAGTCATTGTAGCATATTTAACACCTCTAGGAGCTTAATTAGCTGGTCTTTATCCATTTGAGGGATAGCAGCAGATTTGTCTAGGGCATTTTTAGAAGTAGCTTGATATCCACGTGCCTTACCCTTACGTGGTTTCCAATCAACAGGCTTCCTATGAAGATCCCAACACTTGTCCTTTGTGTGACCAGTCCTTTTACACTGATCACATGAGATTTTTCCTTTTGTCTCTTTCTTACCTTGATCAGAGTTCCTACTTACCAAGGCAGAAGGTTCAAAAGAGGAAGATACGGGAATAAGGTCAGTAAGCATCAACCAAATCATGCATATCTCTAATGCATCACTGACACATGCTGAAGCCTTATTAGTTTAGTAGAGCTTTAGCATCAAGCAAAAATAACAATTATAATATTGGCAATGAAAGAATCTACTAGCCAGTGCATAAAGTCAGGAAGAACAAACAACATAATAAACAAATATTTGTTCCTCAATGCCAATGAGACGATAGGATTTTACTTTGCCATCCGTGAATAAAAGTACAACAAATTAAATAAAAGAGCCAATAAAAAGTGAGCAAGTCACATTAGACACTAATACAGTCCTCTCATCTTTTCCCTAGATAGTATTATTTTCATTTGAGTGAAATCATGCATACCTGCCCAATTGTGTCATTTCCACCCAAAGACCTGTATGAATACCATAAGATGTTAAAAATAGTTACTAACAAATTGTAAAGTGAGGTAGTTATGGAGAGTTAAGTTATTCATCTAAGCTAAGACGGGAAGGACTTAACATATGAGGATTGTTAGATGTAGGTTTACCTTACTGCACATGTAAAAGGAATCAACTGATAATTATCACTAGGCACTAGATAGAACAACTGGGGGTGGTGAAGGGTGAAATTAACAACTATCTTCAATATATTTCAAGAAAACGGTTGTTCCCACTAGAGCATGCCTTTAAACAATAGTCATCCCAGTTTGCAGAGCTTCATTTTACTATTAAATATTGTTATTCAACACAGAATAATAAATGTTATCTTAACCTCTAACCACCAACTACCAACTAATCCATCCATTAAAGAAATAAAATAAATTTACATTATTTAACTACACATTTTAACACTCCCCCTTGAGTTGGAGAGTGGATGTCATCCATTCCCAGCTTGGATGCTAATGTATGAAAATGTTCACTTGACAATCCTTTTGTGAGTATATCTACCAATTGATCAACAGAAGGTATGTAAGGAGTAAAAATTATACCACTTTCCAACTTCTCTTTGATAAAGTGTCGATCAATTTCAACATGCTTGGTCCTATCATGTTGTACAAGATTATGAGCAATGTTGATAGCTAACTTGCTGTCACAATAAAGTCTCATTGGACCTTTCCATTTGATTCTCAAATCTGATAAAATTATCTTTACCCACAACAACTCACAAATTCCAAGTGCTACAGCTCTAATCTCAACTTCAGCACTAGATCTAGATACTACATCCTACTTCTTACTCCTCCAAGTAATGAGATTTGAGCCAAGAAGCGTCAATATCCTAATGTAGACCTTCTAGAATCCATATCCCCTCCATGATCTACATCTGTGTATGCCTCAAGAGTCAATTTTTTCCCTCTCTTAAACAAAATGCCTTTTCCCGGAGTGCCCTTCAAATACTCAAGTATGCGATAAATCGCTTGTAGATAAGATTCTTTAGGATCATGCATAAATTGACTTACCACGCTCACAGCGTAGGCAATGTCTTGCCTAGTGTGAGCTAGACAAATCAATTTACCAACAAGCCTTTGATAGGATTCCTTATTGACAAAAGGCAATGAGAAGGAGGTTTGCTGGGCTTATGACTTTTCTTCAGTTTGCCAAGACATCTTCCTTTCTTGCAAAATCTGTGATTCTGTTCAATTGAAATGTCCAAAGGTTTGCACCCCATTTTTCCTGTTTCCGTGAGAAGGTTAAGAATATATTTATGTTGGGATATGAAGATGCCATGCTTAGAATGCGCCACTTCAATGCCCAAGAAATATTTCAACCTCCCTAAATCTTTCATTTGAAATTCTTTCATCAGTTGACTTCACAAAGATTGAATCCCTTTCAAATCACTCCCTATTACTATGATATCATCAATATAAACAAGTAAAATTGTTACTCCCCCTGAAGATGAATGTTTGATGAACAAAGTGCGATCGCCTTGACTCTGTTTGAATCCTATGCCAACCATGGCCTTTGAAAACCTGCCAAACCATGCCTTGGGTGATTGTTTCAAGCGGTACAAAGCCTTTTTTAGCTTGCAAACGATACCATGAGGAAGATGAGAACCAAAACTAGAAGGAATCTCCACATAAATCTCTTCCTTTAAGTCACCATGTAAGAATGCATTCTTCACATCAAACTGCAGCAATTCCCAATCATAGAGAGCTGCTAAAGATAATAAAATACAGAAAATATTCATTTTCGTAACATGAGCAAAAGTTTCTTCATAGTCAACCCCATATGTCTGAGTATATCCTTTGGCAACAAGCTAAGTCTTGTATTTATCTAAAGAACTATCAGAATTGTATTTCAGAGTAAAGACCCACTTACACCCAACAAGCTTCTTTCCCTTCAGTAATGGACCAAGATCCCATGTATTGTTGTTCTAAAGTAAGTCCATCTCAACCTTCATTGCCTTAACCCAATTATCATATACTAATGCCTCAGATACAGACTGTGGTATTGAGATGGGATGAAGACTGGTGAGAAAAGCTTTGTGACTGCAAGACAATTTCTCATAGGAAAGAAACGAAGATATTAGGTATAAGGATTTTTTGGTACAACTGCAGGCCCCCTTTCTCAGAGCAATAGGTAGATCCAAATCAAGCTGTTCTGAATTATTTTCAAATCCATCCTGACAATCAGAAATATCATGAGAACTTGAAGGAATTTCAATGTTTTCAGGAAGATCAGGAGTTACCTCACAATTTTCATGCACAGGTTTAGAAGTTTGAGCAGGAGTCATTTCAGATGATTGGACTTATGTAAGTTGAGATATTCTTTTCTTCTTCCAAGTGAAAACCTGAAGTGGACGAGTAGATTTAGGAGTTGATGGTGCTTTCAAGGTCTCACTAGGTAAGGAACAAAGAAGTTCATTGACAAGAGGATCATGACCCTAGTCCTCACTAAGAGGGCTCTCTCTTTCAAAAGGGGTATTAAAATAAGAATCAGATTTGGAATAAGTGACATCAACAAAGACAAAAAAATTCCTAGAAGGAGGATGATAACACTTATACCCCTTTTTGAGTAGAGGAATACCTAACAAACACACATTTAAGAGCTCTAGGGTCAAGTTTAGTCCTTTGTTGAGAAAGCACATGAACAAAGACCACACATCCGAATATTCTAGGTATAAGTCCACTTGATGCATTAAAATTAGGGCAAAATTGGGTAAGAACATCAATAGGACTTTTTGAACCAAGGACCGGGGTTAGAAGTCTGTTAATCAGGTGTGTAATAGTTAAAACTGCTTCTCCCCAATATTACTTAGGCACATTAGTTTGAAACAATAAGGCTCTAGTAACATTAAGAAGATGACTATTTTTCCTCTCAACTACCCCATTTTTTTGGAAAGTATTAACATAGGCTAATTCATGTAGAATTTCATGTGTATAAAAAAATATGGACAATGATTGATTAAAAAAATCTTTTGCATTGTCAAACCTAAACCTTTGTTTCCCAACTCTAAATTGAGTTTTAATCATGTTATAAAAAGTGAGAAAATAATACTAACATCATATTTTTGTTTTATCAAATAACTCCATGTTACACGAGTGCAATCATTAATAAAGGATACAAACCATTCAGACCCGATAACATTAAGGACACTAGATGGACCTCAAATATCACTATGAATCAAGCTAAAAGGAATAGAAGTTCTTTTATTACTCATCGGATATGAAGATCTTTTATGTTTTGCAAACTCGAAAACATCACAAAAAAAGACTCAACAGGTACATCTTTAAACCAAGAAGGAAACATAGTTTTCAAAACATTAAATGAAGGGTGACCCAAACGACAATAATAAAGCCAAATCTGATCTTTTCTAGACTTGACTTTTTTTGATTCAGAAGACGGGGAAGCCATCAAGCTTTGAATCCCACTATATTCACTTGGCTCATCAAAAAAATAAAATCCCTCTCTTTCTTCAGCAAGTCTAATCATCTGATTTGTCTCTCGCTCCTGAAAAAAACAAGAGAGAGAAAAGAATAGAATATAACAACCAGAATCAATAACAAGTTTTTTCACAAAGATAAGGCTTGTGCATAGTTTAGGAACATGCAAGACATTCTTTAGGAGAAGACTATCACTCAATCTAACATCCCTTTAACCAACCACAGTAGCTATATACCCGTCACCCCACACAATTTTTCTAGTACTAGGACATAGACTATAAGATATGAAATTCTAGGAGAAATTTGTCAAATGATTTGAGGCTCCAGAATCCACAATCCAAGAGTGAAGAAAATCTTGTTTTGAGGCATTAAATGCAAATAAAAATAAGACAAATGAAAGCTGAAAGGAGATACCTAAGAACCCCAAGAACAGATACCTGTACCAAAACCAGAAGTAGTCACCTTGTCAAGTGACTCTAGCATAGATATTAGTATTTCAATCTCTCCCTTAAGGTCAATCTGATTAGAATTCTCCCTAGTAGAATCAGTGGCCACATGAACTTGCCTTTTTTTCATATTTGGAGGCTTACCATGCAGCTTCCAGCACTTCTCCTGAGTGTGCCACAGCTTCTTGCAATGAAAACATTGAATAGGTTCTTTCTTGGAAAAGTCTCCTCATTTCTCATTTTCCACAGAATAAGGAGCAACATTCCTTGATACCAAGGCAGAGATTTCCACAGATGGAGTTTCTATCATCACTCTTCAACGGCCTTCCTCTGCTAATACAATGGCAATGGTCTCATTGAGAGAGAGAACATCTTCCTGACCAAGAATTTGAACTCTTACAGGAACAAATTCTGAATTAAGCCTAGCAAGACACTCAAAAATTCTCTGCTTCTCAATCAAGCATTTAAAGGTAGCCGCATCAGGATCTTTCAAAGTAATGCACTGATAGTGGTCTAATTCTTGCCACAAACTCTTCATAAGGGTCCAGTATTCAGTGACAGATTTACTGCCTTGTTTGGTATTGAAAATCTTGGTCTGTATCTCATAAATTTGGATAGCATCCTTCACCTTCGAATAAATCTGATGCACCATATCCCAAATCTCCTTAGCCGAGGATAGAAACAAACACGTGTGACTAACTTCAGGGGCCATAGATTGCCACAGCCAAGACACTACCATTGAGTCAACTTCATCCCAAGCATCAAACTTAGGTTCTCCTAGCTTAGAACCAGTCCAAAGTAAATGACTAAGCTTCCCTCGACCCTTTAAAAAGGTACGAACATACTAAGACCAGGCTAGAAAGTTGGCTCCAGTCAATCAATGAGCAACCGAAACACTTGGCAGCTCCCCAGAAACCCCAAATGAGGAAGACCCAATACTATCATATGTGTTTTTTTGGTCAAACATGACTAAAACAAGGAGAGAAGGAGATTCCAAGCAAAATGGAGGTGACCGGAGGCCAAACAAAGCCCATACGTGCTCTCACGGGCCGAAAATGCAGCACTGAGCAGATTCAGTCGGGCAGCGCATGGCGGCGGACGATGGTCAGCCTTCTAGGTCCAGTCAGTCGGCAACAGGCGAAGGCGGTGGTCCAGTGCTTGTAGGCTATATAGTCTCCAACAACAGTGAGTTTGACTATTCATAACCCTAACACATAAAGACAATTGAAACCCTAATGCAAAAAATGAACCCAATCTCAAAAGAACTCTAAGCCTCAAATAGGCTCTGATACTATGACAAATTTGGTAAAAAATTACTCTTTTATTATTTTCACTACTATCATTTACATAATGCTATTTATAAGAGTACATCAACATAGAATAATAAATGCTATCTTAACCTCTAACCACCAACTATCAACTAATCTATCTATTAAAGAAATAAAATAAATTTACAATATATAACTAGACATTTTAACAGAATTTTTCAACACATTATACAGCAATTATACAAGAGTGTTGGCTCAAGTATATGCAAACAAAAAGATGAGATCTCTTATCTAATTTAAGTGTTGAACTGTCACACTCCCTCTGTGTCATGATACCATTTAGACATGACTGAAAATTTAAGAACAAAGGAAAAGTCGTTTATTTTTGTTGTAATCTCATGGCAAAAAGAGCTTTTAGGCGCTGAATTTTTTTACCTTCACATTCACTTGATCATTATTAATTAATAGCAAATAACATGTTGTGTAGGTACATACAGCGTTATAAGGCAGTTCATGTTCTGTAAAAAACAATAATTTAATAATAAAATAAACAGTATATCAAAAATTTAACTCACATCAGACATCACTGATGCATAACTCATACTAACTATATAATAATTCAAAATCTAACTAAATTAACAAAAAATGCAACATCAGACATTTGAATCATAAACATGTCTGTCTCTGCCAGACACTATAGGAAAGAAATATTGGGTACGGGAGTATAAAATATGAAATTTGCGTGCATTGAAAATTTAGAGCGATTTGGATATTGAATTAATCAGTAGTAATTAGGCGTTACAACAGTATTTTAAATTAATTGGGAATTAATAGTAATTTAGGATTTCTCTTCTATCATTTGGGGTTTGCCAGTTCAAGTTCTAAGGATTGCTACAAATTTGGATTTGTCAGACATGAATTCAGAACTGAGAATGTGTGTAAGAATTGTGTTTTCCCACTTCTGTCCTTCCCCACTTTCTGTCATCCCATAATCTCTCTCTTTCCTTCATTGCTCTATTTGTCCAGCATCAATTTTCCCATTGCGCAGGGGCCTACAGAGTAGGAGAAAGCATCGAATCCATTCCTATCAAATTTAATTCTTGAATGAAGAGAAATGAAGAAAAAATACGTGGTCCAAAAGAAAAGCGCAACAGTGTGCTTAAAATAAGGGTACATGATGCAGTTCACAGGGGTCTTGCCATTTTTAACTTTTCTTCTTTTCTTTTGGTTTTTTTTTTTTTTCGGTGGTGGGGATCATGTATTTGAATTCACCTCCCATGCCCATGTAACCAGAAATATATTGGCAATGAATGATCCTGCCTTTAAAATGACGGTAAGCTGTCAGGACTCACCCAACATCCAAATGTTATAGAAATTCAAAGCAGGTAGCTATTGATTCTCTCCCCTAAACAACTAGATCTTTGGGGCAATCTCCCCAAGGTTTGATTCAGCAGCCAAGAAAATGTATCAAGCATTCACAGTATTCAACCATGATTTCATCCAACTTCAGCAGAATTTTTACAATTGATGAAACAACTTTTGCAACTTGATTAAAATGACCAAATCCCAAGTCCACTAAGTGATGGTTTAACTATATCTCTTCAATCAGACCCTTGAGAGATAGTTAATAACGGAAAATAAATTATCAGACTGTCACTTTTGAGATCAGTTTCTGAATGTACCATCTGATTGCGTTGCAGCCATTTGCTTCGTAAAAAGAGTATCCACAGTCAACTTAGAAATGAAGACAACAAACACAACATGTAAACCAACAAGAACAACTTAGCTTACAAGATTAGCATTACATCTTCAAGTTCTTAGAACTTGAAAGGAAAAGGCGAAGGGGCACGGTGTTTCGTCAATTCCATGTAAGTGGCAGTAATTACGAAGGGATAAGACTCACTTACATCACTAACACAACATGCTAGAAGTTGAAATCTGAAAAATCAAGTCAATGAAATAAACTTGAATTGGAGTTGAGGCAGACTGTAGCTTTATACACCAAAATCAAAGCCGAAAAACGCCATAACTCAGAGGTAGTAACAAAAAAAAATCCCTAACCATGATTCAATATAACTAAGCGCAGATACCAAAAGAGAACGGAACCTGATTATCTTATCGAGATAATCCGAAAGAATGGTTTGCCAATACGGCCCCATAGCAGCAGTGGTTTCGACTACGACAATCAGCTGTTTCTCCAACATGATTGATCCAGAGTTCTTCGAGACACGCGGTAAAGTGAAGCAGGTCTGAACCAAACGATCACTCTCATTCGCCTCAGCCTATTCTCTCTGGAAATACAAAGAAACAGTGAGTATTTATACGATGCTTTGTGGCAGATTCATTGTGCGGAAGGCGTAGCAGAAATGGAAAGAGGTGAATTGCATTAAAAATGTTGTGCTCTTTGAATTAGCATTCAAGAGGGAGAATCCGCAGCCGGCAATGGCAAGAGAGCGACCCAGCGCTCGCTCTGTGAACGGAAGGTTGGTAGTTATAACGAATTTAACAACTCATCGGAGAAGTCACAAGGCTTGCTTCTTGTTCTCATCACGCGCGGAGAGAAGTATAACGACTTGCCTGGTGCGCCGCGTTCGTGAGCAATGGGTAAAATCAGAAGGAACTTGGATATGAATTTTGTTTTATTTCCTTCCTGGTTTAAGGAAGAATCTAAACTTAAAAAAAAAAAAAAAAAAAGATGAAGCACAATTTATCTTTAATTAAATAAATTACTTCAGTGCTACGTGTTTGATTACACATATAAAATTTAATTTAATAGACATAAAAAACTTGTAATAGTAAATTGGTGTTGTTTACGTTGTACAACTAGCAATACAGCCATAATTTGCACATGTATATTCAATATAACATGATATTTATAGATATTTTTAACTTTAATATATATATATATATAATAAAAATATTTAATCTAAAACATTGGATTTAAATCCTTTAAATTGGAAAATCCTATATAATTCTTTAAATCAATGGTAATCAGCGCAATTATATTTTCTCAACTTTTTCTTTAAAATTATTTCATTTGATTTTATTCAACTAGATTTTATAACTCATGTCACACAAGAATCTTAACACATTATTTAATTTAAAAAAATCATAATAGAATGAGAAAAAAAAAAAGAGAAGATTTTAATGAGCTTTTTTTTATAAGTGATGATACAAAAATTTAATAAATAGAAAATATAAAGAGAAAGCCTAAGAATAATAAATTAAAAACAATTTATGGCCATTTATTTCAGTTTATTTTTGAAAAAATATCACTTATTTTTTAAAAAAAATTATTTTATGAGTCTTTATAATATTTTATTAAATTTTTAAAATAATTAGAATCCAAAAGAATATATTTCAAATTATTTTAAAAAGCTACTTTAATGTTAATTTAAAGATAATAATTAACTTACTGGAGATATAGTTTAATTAAAAATATTTTTTAAACAAGAGTAATATAATTTATTTTAGTTAAGAACATGTCCAAAGCTACCCCTTTCACCATGACCTCACATTAACTATTTATTTTTATTATAGGTTTTACATTTATATTTTTAATCATAGCCCCACATTCTTTCATCTTTTTTAAATTATATAAAAATAAAAATTTAGAAAAAAAAAGCTGACCATGAAAAAAAAAAACTTGATGGAAGTTTACTATTCAAGTGAATAGAAAACCTCATCACACTTTACAATATATGAAGATTCAATATATTTTTGTGTTTGTTGTATTTTAAATTGATAAAGTTTTATTAATAATCATTGTAGAATATAAAATTCTCATATTAAATTTAATTCTCTTCCATATTTATTGTGTTGATATGTTTCTAAAACAGCATAGACTTGTAAGAAATAGTTATTTATTTCATCTTCAACTTTTAATTTAATTATAATTATAATTATAATTATAACTCATTCTTTTAAATTCAATTTGTTACAACTTATATCATTAATGGTGCTTACATGACGTTTTTATCAAGCAATACATTAAAAGAAATAAAATCACAAAAAACCAAAAAGAAATCTAAAATTTAAAAAGTGGCAAGGATGATTGTGGAGTGGAGCAATTTGAATACTTCCTTATCGTGCCTAGCTTCCCTCCTTCGTTGCCTACAAAATTTTCATATATTTTTATTTCATTTTCTATGCCTACCATTTTTTTCCACTTCTTCTTCAATATTATCCCTGTGTGCAAAATCTTTTAAACTTGGTTCCTACATTAAAAATGTAATTGGTGTCATGAACCTATATTGAAACCATCAATCTTTCATGATATCTTTGACAGAATATCTCTTTTCTATGTTGACCACTAGTAATTTGGAGACCAAATTCTTTCGGTTGTCGTGAAATTCAATCAAGGAATGTGCATTGAATTATAAATGTTTTCTTATAAATTTTCATCACATTCTTATATGGAAGATACCCAAAAAAAACAAAGCAAATAGTTGCCCCAACAATCTATTTCTATTTCAAGGAAGGATTCAGAGTAACTTGAAGATCAAATTATTTACTTCCCAATCCTGCCTTCAATTTTAGTATCTCTTCATCCTTTGCTCAAACTTGTCTCAGCCCCTTTTTTAAATTTCAAATTTATTTTTTGCTTTTCATGATTTTATTTTTTGAATGTATTATTGCCATGTAAATCTTACAGGGTGGTAATGAGCACGCCATGTAAGCACCTTGTGTGACACATATAAATGAGGTCTAATTTGATTATTTTATTAATGTATTATTGCCATATAAATCTTATAGGCTACTAATGACACCTTTTGTGATATATATAAATGAGGTCCAGTTTGATCTATTAATGACAAGGATGAAATTTTTAAACAAACCAAACTTCAAGGATTATATCCTGATGAGTTAAATTTGCAAGATTAAGTCATAACCAAGCTAAAAATTAAAGGTCAAATGAATAATTTTTGCATAATATAGAAACATATAAATATTGACACAATTGTACATAGATTTTCATATTTATCTTAAATGATTATCATAATTTATGTTTATATTAAATTATTAAATTCAAAGAATGCTAACTTGAAAATGTTCATTTTATAAATGTCAAAAAATGTTCATTTTATTTTGGAAAAATATATCTATTAGTCCTTACAGTTTTTCTCAATTTAAAATTAAGTCCTTAAAGTTTTATGTTTTGTTTTAATTGAGCCATTTTAATTTGATCAATTAATTTTGTCGGTTAAATAGTAATTTAGACTCTAAATTGTATGCCCAAAGGTAATCTGAACTGTAAACTCGTATGTAATATAGTTTGAATCTTAAACAATTAAATTTGGGAAAATCTCACCACTGCTGTTAAATTGGACTAAACGTTCGTTTTGTGGGGCCTATATATTCTAACATTTCCCTCCTCTCTCTCTCCCCCCTTCTTGCTCCCCCCTCTTTTTGTGTCTCTCTCTCTAGTTGGCCAGTTGGTGATGGTCGAGCACTCTTCCTCTTCCTCCCCCTCCCCCCTTTCTCTGCATCTTTCTTCTCTAATTGATGATAGATGCATCGCATTCAAGCCCTCTCCCCCCTCTCTCAAAGTCTCTTTTCTCCAACTGATGACAGAACCATTACAGTAAAGGGACGAACTCAACCTCAACAAATTCTTATCAAAAGTGGCTAGAGTCTATCAAGGAAGAACTCCAAGTTTGCCTAATCTAGTACTCGCTTACTCTTTTTGAGCATCGATGCCATTCTCTCACATCACATCAAACTATTATAAGAACCTCTGTCAGCAACCCTAACTCTATCTCCCTTTAATAAATAAGTCCTCAACCTTGCTAACTGTAACACCCTCAAATTTACAAACTAATTTTTCGCAAATCATTAATTCAATAAATCATTTTTTTTCATTGAACCCTCATCATACCCTTATCATGGTAGAAAAATTTCTACCATGGTACATCTAAGACAATATACCACAGGTCTTAAAATATCTCAAAAAAATAATTAGAACCATGAGGGACAGACAGGATCCTCATGGCATGATATTTAAATCAGGTCATGAATCAAGAGGGACAGATATAATCCTCTTGGTCATATAAATACTTTTAATAAAAAGGATTAGAGTTTACATGCTTTACAAAGAAGATATGTCCTAATTGGCACAAGATACATTATATAATCTAAAATAAGAGGCAACGTAAAAGATGGTGTCTCATACACCATAGTTACACCTCTGGTGCTTTCTCGGCCGGACTCGCTCCTGTAAAAATGTTAACCACGGGGAATGAGACTTAAAAGTCCCAGTAACCAAAAATTAATATGTAATGATACATGCGGATGTAACTAATCATGCGATTGCTAATTGGGCACACAAAACATTTAACTGAACAATATTTTCAAACAAACCGAACAAGTATTTAATTTGCATGACTGCACCTTATATCCTCCTTTCGCCATGCTCGGACGCCAAATCACCCGGCCAAAGGTGAGTTGGACCAAGCGACACACCACTCATTGGGTCCAATGAGGGCTTACCACATGGTAATAATTAACCGAACAGAAATTCCCATTAACACCATACATTAAAATACCCTGACAAGTCATGCATCATTCAAATATTCAAACAGAAATATATCCGAATAATAATATCTCATCATGATAAATAAAAATAAATTTTTAACCCACTTGGCATTGATTTCACAGAAGTATATAACAGTATTTATTTTCAATAATTCATAATTTTTCCAAACAACAAAACAACACATAACCATTCACAAACACACCCATCACAACACATTAATAATGGTTACCTTGTGTCTTGAATAACAAGTTCCCCTTCACAACTCCTTTTTCACCACTATCTTTGTCAATATAATCTACATAATTATTTCACAATACTATATATTAATTTTACATTAAAATAAATAACTCTAATTTAAATAGTTAGAAAGTCTTAGATCTATAATCCATATTAACACTAATTTAAGATTTATGCCTCATTTAACTTCCCAAATTCTTTTCTAAAATTCTCGTACCCTAATAAACTATTTTTTTATCCTCAAATCACTTCTAGTATCACAATTTCATCCTTCTATATTCTAAAAATTTATCCAAAAATAAATTAAATTTTAAAATTATCCTGAAGCCTCAAATCACCTTTCTATAATCTCAAAAATACCTATTCATACTTAAATAAATATTTAATAATATAGATTTATCCCTACATCTCAGATTCCACATAAATTCAACCATATAGATCTAGATTTTAACTCAAAAATTCTTAAACATGAGTTTCAACCTCAAAAAAATATTCTATAATATTTATTATATCCCTAAGAGTTTTAACCTATATTTTTAATCCATCATATCATCAGATTAACTATCCTATAGAAAAATCTTAATTAAAATATTTACTCTATCCTACAAAATAATCATATCACTAGAAAGCTAATATTATTTAGAAAATAACTATAAATTAATTTTATAATTAAATAAATTTTTAAATGCTAATCTAAACAGGAAAGTTAGAACATACCTGAAGAAAAAGAAAATAATCCTCCCTTGCGAGAAAACGCCGAGCAACGTGAGAGGAAGAGAGAAAAATAATATAAAAATGGAATTGTGAGTCCCAAAATTATATTAAAAAAAACTATAGGTTTGAATTTAATTATTCAAACCTTTGGGCTAAAAGTTGCAATTTCCTCTAAATTGCATCTTAGCCTCTCATGCTTCCTAATGCACACACCCCCTCCTTTTTATACATGAAGGCACCTCTTCTCTTCCCTCATCTAACCAATGTGGGACTTAGAAACAATAACCTTCCACCCCCCCTTTTTTTTAGTTCCTTCTACCTTCTCTTTTTTTTTAACACACACATAAAAAAAATTATTTATGTATTATATCTTAACTAAATATTGCTTATGTGGTTTTAAATTTAAATTTTTAAATTCATAATTAAATACCTAATCGTAATATTATTTCTAAATAACCTCAAATAATATAAATTCCTATTATTATCATTTTTTTCCTCAAAATCTAAATTCCACAATTTCTTTATTATATAAAAATCAGGATGTTACACTAACAATGCAATTGATATTGTGGTGTCACAACACAACGCTCAGCCGGTGCCTTTATGCCAAAATGAGATAGTTTTTGTCAAAACTCACTCCTACATCTTAAGTATAAATAGACCCACAACGCATGCAATAGCCCCTTGAAGTGTGTGTTCACACACTTGTAATCTCTCTCTCTCTCTCTCTCTCTCTCTCTCTCTCTCTCTTTGTGTGTGTGTCTATCTCTCTGATTTATCTTAAACTTTTCACTACCCTTTGGTTCTATATTCCAAGTAGTGCTTAAAGATGTATCAGATTCCAAAGGCAAGCTTGCTACCTTGTAATCTTTGATTTCATGCCTCAATTGCACCTTTTTGCTCCAAACGTGATCCATGGTCATCCTAGAGGCATGCTTCAGTTGCATGTTGCATCACTAGCATTCATGAACAGTAGCAAGAGAAGAGAGATGTTAAGAGTGAGGAGAGAGAGAGGAGGGGGATGTCATGATATATAGGCCCTACACAATGAATGTTTAGTCTAATTTAACGATTGGGAAAGATTGTCTTAAGTTTAATTATTCAGGGTAAAAACATATCACGTACAAGTTTAAGGTTCAAATCGCGTGCCCCTGCACCTATAGTTTAAGGTGTAAATTGCTATTTAACCTGAATTTTTTTAATCCCTGAAAATTAAAATCCTTATATTTTTCATTGAAAATAATAAAATTAAATTTTTTTATTTTTATTAAATGATTATATAACTCTATGATTAATTACATAATTATTATAGCTCAAAATTTATATAATAATGTTCTCTTCTAAATAGTTTTTACACATACAAAATTTTTATAAAAAATTTAAAGAAATGTAAACAATGTATTAAATTAAATTTTCTTTTTTCAATTTTGGCTTAAAGTATTAAAAAAAATGTTTTGCAAACTCCAAAAGTATTTTTGTTTGTTAAATTTGATAATTTATTATTAATTTTAAACTTCAAGAGTTAACATATATAATAAATAAAACTCTATCCACTTGATTGAAACAAAATAAATTCTTTAATCATTTCAAAAATGGCAACAACATACCAATTTTTTGATTTCTTTCCATCAAAGAATCATACAAATAGATGGTTGATACCCCTAAATTCACTTTTGATCGAAATAGTTTTATTAATTCCAACAATTTTTACTTTTTTTTTAACTTGCTCAAATTGAATCCTTTCAATTTTTATGGTGAAAATATAGTTATAAAGTTTTCTAACTTATTTTCTAACTCAAAAAAAATTGTTCTAACTTATTAATTTTTAGTAACCCTAAAAACTTGTCCTTGATAAATGAATCAACTCAAGCTCTATCATGTACTATTTCCATTATCAAACTCTCTCTTAAGGTACCTATTTAACCTTAAGCAAAATTTTAAGAGCCCGCAAATTAATTTTTTTTCTTTTATTTTTTGATTGTTCGCATTCCTATTTATAAGATTGATTAATGAAAAATGTGTTCTGAATTGATAATAAAAAAGAATAAATTTTAAATACTTTTTTTGATCCCCAAAATATAAGAATTTATTATTTTTCATTTTCTAATTTTTAATAATTACATTTTTTTCAAAAAAATAGTACTTTCAATTATTTTTAAAGAAAAATTATACAAAAGTCTCACATAAAAAACTAATTATTTATAAGTCACATATACTTATAAATACTGCAAGACAAATAAAATATTAAAGATTGACTTGTAAATAAGTTCAAAAAATAATAATTTCTTTTTAGGACCTACTGACTGTAATCTCCCCCTTTTTAATACACAACAATGATCAACAAATGCATAAAGAATTTTTTTTTTGTGAGAAGCAAGCATAAATTTAAATAACACATAGTTTAATAAATTTATTTAGATAGACAAAGGATTTATTATTTTTAGAGCCAGGTTAATAAATATAAGAAATATTTAATATAAATTTTAATTAGTAAATAGTATTGTATAATCTTGTTAAAAATATTGTCAATAGTATTTAGAAAGGGAAAACTTATATACTTGGTTTTATATAGTTAATGGGCCTGTTTTAATTAAATAAAAACATGAGGACCTTTTATAAATTATTTAGAAAAAATCGCTTATACATCTCATGGAGCAAACTTATTTACAAATAAGTCCTATAAAATTATTAAAAATTACATCCATGTCTCTTGAGATCTAAGTATAATTTTAAATTAAGATACAAAGATAATTATTAAAAATACATTATATTAATATAGTAATTTACAACTGTTGGATATGTGTACAAATTATTGATGAAATAGTTATAAATAATTAGTTTTAAATATTGTTAGTAACACATAATTAGTTTAACCATTGGATATTTAAGTTACAATTTTGAAAAGTTAAAGTGATAATTGTATATTATTGATTAAGTAATTATAAATGTAAAGTAGTTGTATTTTTAATAGGGACATTATATTTTTGTACTCTAATTTCAAAATACACTCAAGTCTTAAGAGACATGGATATGATTTTTGAATTTTCAGGAACTTATTTGTAAATAAATTTACTCTACAGGACCTATACATAATTTTGTCAATTATTTACTCTATAATAAATTCTTGTTATTAGTTTTATTAATAGTATAAGATTCACTTATTTATGACTTGATTTAGACATAAGTACATTAATTATATAAGACTAAGTATAAAAATCTTACTCATTTAGAAATTGAACTAGAATTCCACTGGAAAAGGGGCTCACACTTAGTATCCAACATTGTTTCAAATAAAATTTTCTCTAACAGAAGGATATGTGTGTGTGTGTGGGAAATTAAAAAAAAAATTGAACTGAGATTAATGTTTGCGAAAGTAAAAAGATGGTGAGGGACTCAGATATTTCACTCGATAAAATAAAACAAAACGAAACATATTATATTAATTAAATTTATTTATATATTATTTTCTTTTTATGACATATTATTTACTAAATTATTATTATAAATAATACTATTACTCAAAGCCCATTAGAAATTTAAAAAAAAAATGAGTGAAACAAATATGTACACAATACACACTAGTTTAAAGTATATACCATTGTCATCCTGATTTCCTTTGCTTTATTCTCGTTCCTCAATGGGCCTAAACTTCTCTCATCCATGCAATGAATTTCCAAGAACGAAAGGTTCCTGAGAAACAACCATAGACGACAATGGCAATAATGATGATCATGATAGTGATGACTAATATTCTCTCTTTCCATTCTCCGGCCATCACCACCACCACGTTGTGATTAAATTGTATCATTGCCTTCGTTAAAAGGCCTAAATGTCTTATTCTGCAATAGGCCTTAATTTCCATTCCTCCTCCTCTCCGCCGGCAACTGCATACACCACCTCACCGGTGATCATAGCTTTCACGCTCGGCATCCTCATATGTTTCATCGTCAGTTTTTGCTTCATCTACTTGTGTCGATGCTGTTTCATGAATTACTTCTTTTCTTGGGCCTTCCATCGTCCCACCGCCGACCATCTCGTTCGCCAGATCCATACCCCAGCCGACGGCGACTCGTCTCCGTTCCGTGGCCTCGACCAGGCGCTACTTCAGATCTTCCCGACATTTCCTTACTCCTCTGTGAAGGAGTTTCAAGGGAAGAATAACAAAAACAACAAAAGCTATAGCCTAGAATGTGCCATTTGCTTGTTGGAATTTGAGGAAGATAGCTTCCTTCGCCTCTTGACCGTTTGCTGCCATGTCTTTCACCAAGAATGCATCGATCTCTGGCTCGAGTCTCACAAGACATGTCCTGTTTGTCGTACAAATCTCGATTCATTATCAAAGGAAAAATCTCATCAGGAAAACCAAACAACAAGATCAGAGCCATTCACAGAGAACAACAATAACGATAACGAGACCCGTATCGATGTAAGCGAAGAAGATGATGATGATGATGAAGATTCTAGAAGAGAAGAGGAAGAAGAAGTTTTTTCTAGGAATCTGCAGCAAGTAGGAGAAGGAGATAAAGCGAAGAGGTTTTCAAGGTCACACTCAACGGGTCATTCCATAGTTGTGATAAAAGGTGGAGAAGAAGAAGAAGAAAGTGATGATGATGATGATGAGAAGAAGAAAGAGGATAAATATATGTTGAAATTACCAGAGCATGTTCAGATAAAACTGATAAGAGGAGGAGGACATAGCCACACAAAGAGTTGTGCCTCTTACAATGAGATGGCCAAATTTAGTAGTAGTAAATGTTATTATGCTGAGGCCGTATCAGGATGCACTACTTCCTCCCAGCCTTTAAGGGTTTGAATTTTATTCTAGAGATTAGAATACAGACACATGCACATGCAAACACCATCAGCTAGTTAAGGCACATATATGGCATGTATATGCAGAAACAAACTCTTTTATTAGTTGAGCCTTGCCAATTAAATCAGGCCAATTATGGACACAACTTTTCAAGGAAAGAGTAGAGATATACTTGCCCTATAAAAGAGAGACAAAGAATGAAATTAAAGAAAAGTGAGAGAGATCACACAAATTTTGATTTTGTTTAGGATAATCAAGTTGTATCATAAAAGGTTTATCCAAGTTAGAATCAGCATTAATTACCACACCAAAAGTGTTCATAAAAATATTAGATTAGATTCAAATTAAACTTGTGTTTATGAAGAAAGAGAGAGAGAGAGAGAGTGTGTGTGTGTGAGATCACAATTGGCATGATGTTATTCATGATCAGTGCAAAATTGATTCATAATTTCATAGTATTGATAACACGAGGTAAATCTCTTTAGAAAGATTGATCATACTAACATCGAGCTTATAAGGATAATAAGGATTTGATCCTATATATGCAAATTGTTGATTGAAAAGATCTTATGTATCGACTTCATTTTGTTTGATCATGAGCCAACATGCATTGGCAATTGATGGTTGTGTGTTATTTGTTTTGCAATTTTATTTTTCCAAGCTAGTAAGTTTACGTCTATAGTTTATTTTGTTTTAGGATTACATGAATAATTATTATTCCCTTGATTCTATATATATACTCCTTCTATTAAAAAAAATATAAAGTATTTTTAATTAAATTTTATCTCTCAATAAAATAATTAATTATCTTTAAACCATTATTATCTGTTCATATTTACCCTTATTTAATAAAATGTTTCACTTTAAAATAAATATAAAATAATTTATTTATTAAAGACACTTTTGAAAACAAAAGGAGTAATAATTATATCTTGAAACATTAAAAATACCTTACATTTTTTAACATTCAACTCTTCAAAAAATGTATTATATTTTCTAACAGGAGGAGTATATAAATTGCTTTTATCCACTACTTCGCTAGAGTTAATAAAAGGTAATTAAAATTATTAACACTGTCCTAAAAAAATTTTAATTTTAACCTTATTAAATGCATCATCTTTAAAAATGTTCTTTCTCTCTCAAATGTAATTTTTTACTCTACCCGTAGAAAATATTGTGGAAAGGGAGAACTCAAGGAAAATAATGATTTGGGCTTGGGCTTGGGCTTGTGGGCTGACAATCTTGATATAGGCTCCTTTGCATTTTTTTTAGGGTGTTAAACAATAATAGTTAAGAGTTTATGTTCATCTTCGCTGGGCTCTAAGGAATTTTATATTTTTATTTACAAACCTTAATAGCTTTACTGATTTGGGAGGGGATGATGGCAAATCCATGTCCAAACATTGGCTTTACATACAAGGAATTCAACCTATACATATATATATATATATATATACATGGTCTCTTTTATTATTTAATTTTTTTCACTCACACACCCTCCATGTTAGCCCGAGCACATAGTTCAATTTCACCATATTTACCTGAACTTTATATAGTTCAATCCTACAACTTTTCATATTCAAAAGGCCTCGGTGCCACTGAGGATGAGTGAATAACACTTGTTTCATTTTTAACAAAAACAGTAAATTTTATTAATTTTCAAGAAAACAAAGATCTATAATAATAAATAAGTCTCATCAAAATAGACAGATGATAAATAAGTACCACGATGTGCAATAATTACTTTCAAGTCTTTAGAAACTTATCTAATCTATTTTTATGGAAAAATATATCTGCAGGTCCTTACAATTTTACTCAATTTTAAATTAAATTTATGCAATTAATTTTATTTTAATTGAGCCCTTATAGTTTAACCAATTAAATTTTTTAATCCCTGAAAAATTAAAATCCTTACATTTTTCCTTTAAAAACCAAAATTAAGAACTTTTATATTTTTATTAAATGATTATATGACTTTAGAATTAACTACATAATTTTTATAATTCAAAATTTATATAATTAGGTTATCTTCTAAATATTTTTTTATGCATGTAAAATTTTCATAAAAATTGTCATAAAAATATAAAAAGTGGATTAAATCAAATTTTCTTTTCCTAGTTTTGGCTAAATGTATTAAATTAAATTTTCTGCCAACTCTAAGAGTACATTTGTTTTGTAAAATGAAATAATTCATTTTTGATTTTAACATTTAAAGGTCAATATATATAATAGATAAAACTATGAAGGCTTGATTAAAATAAAATAAATTGCAGAGACTTAATTCAAAATTCAGTGAAGTTATAAGGACCTACAAGTATATTTTCTCTATTCTTTTTGCAACATTACATTTTTGGCCCCAACCAAGATAATAAAAAACATAGTTGTTAATATCAAAACTAAAGTTGTTAATTAATAACAAAGGTGAAATTGTTAATATAAAAAATGAAGTTTTAATTTAGTTATGCAATAACAAGTGCGTTTCTTCTATTAACAACTTCAATTTAGTGATTAACAATTTTAGTTTAAGTATCAATAACATAATTGGTCATAATAACTTCAGTTAATTAATCATGCAATAACAACTATGCTTTATGTATTAATAATTTTACCTTTGTTGTTAACATAATTTTAGTTTAAATGTTAATAACTAAGCTTTTTATTATTTTGTAGAGGGTCATAAACATAACATTTACAAAAAAAATTGTGATGGTTAAGACCCTAGAGATTTTAGATTAATTAATTATCTCATTTCATAGTACTATTTTGTCATTTACCTATTTTAATAAGATTTATTTATCATGTTCTCAAAAAATGAAGATGCACTCCATAATTGTCAATTGTTCATGCTAGAGAAAATAAAACCTATTGAGTTATAATCATACAAACCTAAACGGTTGAACCTTTTTAAGCAATAGAAAAACAAAGTCATCCTCTTTAATTTCTGGTTCTGAAGTTGACCTTTATCTTTGGTTTGAATGGAAAGAAATTGGGAGGAAATAAAACGGAAGAAGAGAAAAATGGAGTGAAAAGAAAACTAAAATAAAATAAAATGTTATTATCTTTTGTGTACTTTCTCAAAAAACAGAGGAAAGAAAATGAATAAATGTCATAATGACAACAATATTTTTAGGTCAAAATATATCATGCATATTCCATATGATCATCTTTATAAAAATGAATTAAAATCAAAATTACATAAAAATTAGCATCATCAAAACAATTTAAAATTCAAATTATTTTGGTATGAGATATATTTTTATTTTATTATATTTTAAAATCAAATAATTTAGTAACAAATATTTGCATTCAGAACTTCGATCACCATATTTTCTTCCTTCGTCCCTTCCTTCAGATGCCATTGACGAAAACTCATTTACCTAATATTCTTCATGGGAGAATTATAAATTGATCCCACATAAAGAAATTAATTACTGTAGGGTCAATTGACAACTAAATTAAACTCTATTAATAATTTATTGTGTTGTCAATATAGTTTAATTCAGTTATCAATAGACCTTGTATTAATTTTTTTTGTATGGGACTTCAATGTTATTCTCCCTTTATTCATTTAGGTTTTAAAAATCTAGTCCTTTGAGGGGAAGACACAAAGATGATGAACAAATTAAGGGGAAGAGCAGTTTTTGAAACAAAGTTCTCTTCTCAAAATTTCTCCACATGGAGAGAAAATGTGGTGAATCTCATATGTGTTATAGTGAGTATAGGTAATTAAATGCACTTCTCGCATTAGCAAAAAAGACAAAAGGAAAAAAAATATTCATAAATTTTTTCTTCCAAGAACACCTTACCATATCTTTAAATGAAAAAAAGTATAAGAGTACCTATAAAATTTATTTTAATAGGTATAAGAGTAATCGAACCATTAAATATACCTAACATTTGTTAATTTTCAATGTTCAGCCAAAGTCTCCTTGCCAAGTGGAACACAAAATATGACGTGTCTCCCTTCTTCATCCTTCTCAAATGCAATCACACCAAAAACTACTCCATGATCAACGCTATCTCCAAGCTTTATGACCTAATAATATAGTAGGTTCAAGTCCCAACCTTCACCTCCTATGGCCATCATCTTTGACTTCTTCCTCATCTAGACTCTTAAACTTTCCCATAATTAATTGTCAATTAATGATCTAAAAACTAATTTTCCATTGTAAACTAGTTGAATTATGATATTTGTCGAATGAGAAATTGGTGAGATGCATACTTGTTGGGGGGTAAAGTGGAAGGTGCCAACAAAAGGGACGATAAGAGAATTCTCAAAAGAGTGAAAAGACTCGACGTGAATGACATAGAGGGAAGCATGGTTCCAAGAAAGAGGCTGGTAAGTGTTACAGACAACGACCTTCATGAATCCTAGAGACAGCACTCATTCAAATTCATGTCTCACAATTCTTGAATCAGAGCAATCAATTTGTATTTTGAATACCTATGCCTTATCGCCCTTCGCTATCTCATCCGTAAATCTCAATATCCCTATGTTCATTCATTATATAATTAATTACTGCTCATCAGAGTTTCCAAAGATTAATCAAATAGAAAGGGAGAATAGATTAGCAAAAAAGTGCGTAGATCGTGAGTAAGGATGGCAATAGTGTACTCGACACTAAAGAGGACAGACATAGGGCAAATATGGAAGAGGATCACTGCACCCTTAAGGCAGATGTACGCTCTTGTTTTTGTTTGGTTGGAAAGAAAATATAAGAAGAAAATAATAGAAAAAATAACTTTTTTCCTATTTAGATAAGAGGAAAAAAGTGAGCAGAAAGAAAAGTTAGGAAGAAATTGAGGTGTGAGATTCATCCCATTTCTCCCTACAACTTTTCTCTCCAAATATGAGGAGATTTTGGGGGTAAAATTTTATTCCATCGTTTGCCCTCCCTTTCCCTCTTATCAGTTTTGGCGCCGGACACTCATCTATTTTCTTTCACACATAGCAATGCTAAGGAGACCGACTCAGGCAACATAGTTGTCTTTTGGCTTTATCTTCTTCTCTAGCATGTTCCTCATTGCAATTCCTCAATTCATGGCTTAATCATCTTCATCCTTGAACAGAAAGTACATTTTAATAAAAGTGCCCACTTTTGATTTTTAAAATGTAAAAATAACATATTTTTA